CAGTCTGGGTTTTGTAGACTACTTCGTCCTTGCAGTTCTTTTTGAAGACCAGCTCCTCCTTGAGAGCCCTGATCTTTGTCTCCAGCTCCAGCTGAGTGATATTGGTGTCATCAGTGACCCTTTGGAACCCACTGTTGTCACTCTCCACAGACTGGTGCATGGCCAGTTCCATTTCATGTTTGACTCTGAAGTCAAGATGGGCAGCAAGATGGGCATTGTCCAGAGAACTTGCAGAGATCTCAACCCTCAGGTCCTCAATGGTCTTGAGATAATGTCCCCAGTGTCTGACCCAAGGTCCCTTCTCTAGGTGTTCCGGGATTTTGCTTTCCAGTCTTCGATTATCAGCCTCCAGACTTCTCACTTCTTCAGGTAGGAGGCCAAGTGGCCATGCAGGCATTGCATAGTCTCTTTGTCTCTCTGGATTCCCCATGTGCCCCTGGCCATCCTTGGCCATCCGCACAGCCAGGCACCCGGAACCTCAGAGACTTTGCATGCTTGTGGAATGGGACACAGAGTTCCAGGAGCCCAAGCCCCCAGCACTTACATAGAGTCTGGCCACACTGTTGGCTTGCCAGGCCTGGTGGCTGGGCAACTGCATGGAATCCAGAGTCTGGTAATTTGTGGAAAAGCTGGAGAGGGTGTTGAAGTTCGTGTTGCTCAGGGAAGAAGGAAAGAGGACAAGACTCAGGTTTGAGTAGCCAGAGCTCTGCCCTGTTTAGTCTCCTGGAAGAGTCACAAAAACACCTATGTAGGTCCCAGAGAAAACTTTAGTAAGTGTCATAAAGGAGAAACAGTATCAAAAAGTCACAATGTAGTAAAAATTAAGGCTCTTCCACTTGGATATTGAACTCAAACAATTCTTGGATCAGTGGAGAATACAAATAGCCATTGTAGAATGTATAGGTAATCATAGTAATGAAAACACAGGGAAATATGATTTACCAAAAATGACCTTGAATAAAGAAAATTCAAATAGACCAATTACCAAAGAAGCAACGCCCCCAGTAGTATCAGGCCTAGGTGTTTCACAGGAGAGCTCTCTAAATCCTTAAACAATCAGTAATTCCACTGCTGCCTTTCAGACTGTTCCAGAGCATAGAGAAAGAAGGAAAACTTCCATATTTGGGGGAAACAAGTATAAGATTGATACCAAAACCTGACAAAGACTGCACAAAAGAAGAAAACCATAGACTGAATCTCACTTTTGTGACTCTAGCTGCAAAACTGTTTTAAACAAATGGAATCCAGCAGCACATCAGTAAAATAATGCATCATGATCAAGAGAAGTTTATTCAGTTAGAAATATTTTTCCTGCTGTATTACTCATTTACTTTAACATCCACATATGCAGTGATTTGAATTGGTAAAGTACTGTGGTTATTAGATTAACAGCTTAATTTAAATATTCAGATAACAATGTATGAAAACATCATTACCAGTAAGGATTTTGACTAGTAAATTGAAATGGAATGCTATGTGAAGTTGGTGCCATTTCAGAATGTGTCACATAGTAATCTTATACCATAATTTGCATAAAATTAATAGAAATTCATTTTGAGATGTTAGTATATAATGTACTATACATTACTGTGGTGTACATGTTGTAGATATATTTAGGTATTTGGTTACATGGTTTCACAATATGTTACAATACCTCAGGCTCTAGGACCAAAGGGGAAAAAGAGAGAGAGAGAAGTTTATTCAGGGTATGAGATAATGCAGCGTTAGGAAATTTATTAGTATAATTTGTTTTATTGATAGGCTTAAAGAGAAAAATCATATGGTTATCTCCAATTACCTAATGAAAAGCATTTGACAAAATTCAACAGCCAGTCTTTATAAATAGCATTCAGTAAAAGAATAATTAATGGCTGTTTCCTTATATTATATATACTTAATGTGTACACATATGTATATATATCTCAAATCCCAATATCATGCTCAGTGGTGATACAGTAGGCTTTCCCTCTGAAAAGAGAACAGGACAAGAAATCTCACTGTGATCACTGTTGTTCAATATACTACTTCAGATACTAGCCAACTAGTATCTGAACAATATCTGAACTAGTATCTGGGACAAGAGAAATTAGAGGAATAACCATTTGCAACAGAGGTAACTGTTACTATTGGCACATGACATGAGTCTATATGTGGAAAACACAAAAGAATCTACTGAGAAACTACTCCAGAAAGAGAATTCAATAAGAAAACAGGATAAAAAATTAATTAAAGAAATCATTAGCCTTTATATATCAGTAACAAAAATATAGACAGTATAATGAAAGGGGGGGAAGCCACATTTATAAGCAAAGCCAAAAGGTGAAATAGGAATAAGCAAATCCAATGTCAAAAAATTAAAATAATACTGAAAGGGTACAAAAAGAAGACTTGAATCAAGATACCATTGTGCTCACTAGGAAGATTCAGACATTGTGTTAGTTCTCCCTAAATTTATTAATTTGATGTAGATTCCATAAAGTTACTAACACTTTTTCTGGAATTGACATAAACTTTTCTAATGCTTATGTAGTAAAATAAAAAGTAATTACAAAGAAAAGAGGGTTGGAGAAAGCAGTGGGTTGGGGTTACTGAAGTCATATATAAAGTCTAAGTATTTAAAACAGTGGACTGCCGAACCTGTCAGTAAGCAAATGGGCCTATGGACTGGAAATGCAGAAATAAGCCTAAGCATATAGAAGAATGTGAATCCTAACCTACATCCTGATACCTACAGGAATATAAACCTAAATAGTAAGTTCAGAAATAAACATAATAAAAAGAATTTAGTACATAATGGAAAGTGATACCTAATTTAGTAGGAAAAAGATATTTCAAAAAACAGTTTTGGAGTGATAACAAAAAAAAAGAAACTTGGAACATCCATTGTATCCCAGGATACGTTTCAAGTGAGTCAAAATCTAAATGTAAAGCATAAACCATAAATGGATTTTCTAGAAGAAAAATCTGAGTGAACTTATTCATAATCTGAAATGCACAAGTCCTTGCTAACTAATCAAAATTCAGCAACCATTTTTAAGTGAGAAATTTGACTATGAAAAATAAAAATCATGGTACATCCATACAATGGAACGTTTTTTCATGCTAAAAAGAATTGAGCTGTCAAGTCACAAAAAGCCATGGAGAAAACTCAAATGCCTATTGCTAAGTGAAAGAAGTCAATCTGCAAAGGCTAAATATTCTATGATTGTAACTAAGTGACATTTTGGAAAAGGCAAAACTATGGAGGCAGTAAAAAGATCAGTGGTTGCCAGGAGGGAGGGAGAAAGAGAGGGGTGAATAGGTGGAGCACAGAGAACTTTTAGGGCAGGGAAACTTCTACGTGATACTGTCATGGTGGGTATGAGTCATTATACATTTGTCAAAACCCATGGAATGTATAACACAAGGAGCGAACCCTAATGTACATTACGAGCTTTGGGATATAATGATGTGTCTCTGTTGGGTCTTTGCCTGAAACCAATAAATGTACTCCTGTAGTACAGGGTTTTGATGGTGGCAGAGTGTGTTTGGGGCATGGGGGAGAGGTATGTGGGAACTTTCTGTGCTTTCACTCAATCTTTCTGTGAACCTGAAACAATTCTGAAATAAAATCTATTTTTAAAAATAAAATCTTGTGAAAGGTAAAAAAATATGTAAGCAAAACCAACGAAGTCTGAGAACATAATGCAAAGATAGGCAAATGATAGTGATAAGAATAGATAGAAAAGATGACAGAGACAGAGAGCCCTTGCCAGTTGGCTCAGTAGGTTGGAATGTCATCCCATACGCCAAAGGTTATGGGTTCAGTTCCCGGTAAGGGCACACAGCTAGGTTGCCCTTTGATTCCTGGTTGGAGCGTATGGGAGGCAATTAATCATCGTTTCTCTCTCACATCAATGTTCTTCTCTGAAATCAATAAACATATTTCAAATTTTTAAAAAAATAAAGGTAAGAGAAGGAAATAATGTTCAACATTCTTTAGAGTCTGATAATTGCAAATTGTACTATACAGAGCTAATATTTCACTGATCAGTCCTGTTGTTAAAAGTCAAAGTGTCACCCCTCCCCCCACCCCGCCCCCCAAAAAAGTGGTATTCTGGTAAGGCTGTAGGGCAGCAGCTATTCTATTATTCTTGGGAATGTGAAAAAATAGTTACCATTGAGGGCAACTTGGCAATATCCATCAGAATTGAAATCTCATTTGTCCTTTAACCTGGCAGTTTTACTTCTGGAAGTTTATAGCTATCCTTGCCCCTTAATGCAATAATATGTACAATGGCCCTTTATTTCAGCCTTTCTTTTTGCAAAAATAGCAAAAACATTAGAAACAAATCAGGTGTTCATCATTAGTGGACTAAGCGATGAAATTATGGTACATCTTTACAGTGGAATACTGTGTCATGTGAGTGCATTTATATAGAATAATATTCTTTTTATTTTTAAGCAATAACACAGTACCTCCTTAATTTTTTTGTTGAAGTAACTTTAAAAAAGAGAATATATAAACTAGTAGTATGGGGAGTGTAGCTTGGAGTGAACAGGTCTTTAAAAATTTCCGCTTTATCTTTAAAATCTGTGGGCTTACTATAGTCTTCTTTGTAGTTACTCTGTTTAATTTAAAATTAATTTTAAAAACTGCTCTTATTGAACTATCCTGCTCCAGGAAGACGCACCTTATGCTTTATGTGCCTTCTCTTACCCCTGGTACATTGCCACGTATCCTTGCCTGAGAAGCATATAGTGTAGCCAGTTTTTTTTTTTTTCCACACTGATTTTCTAGCTGACAGACTATATTCAGTAAACATCAGAATAGCCCTATATTTGTCTCAAAATAATTGACCAAGTATCTCTCCTTTCTAATATTGAACATTCCCAAAAAATGATACTAAATTGGATTTATTGGTGTTTGGACATTACTAATGATGTAATGGTTTGTCCAGTGTATTTTTATGTTCTATGTTACATGTTCAGTATATTTCTGTGTAAAATATTCTCTTTAGCAGGATGAAGTTAAAGGAAGTAGATCGTACAGCTATGCAGGCATGGAGCCCTGCTCAGAATCATCCCATTTACCTAGCTACAGGTAAGTTCAAAAAAGATAGTACATCTAACTTATTCATACCTGTTCTTTAAGCTTGAAGTCAACTTTCATCTCTAGAAAGCCTCTTCTTCCCTGGCAAGATACCTCCCTCCTGGCTGTCAGCTGGATTCAGTGACCTTCCTCTGTGTTCCCAAAGCACCTTATACATCACAGCATTAATCACAATGCATTTATAGTATCTTCCCCACTTTATACCAGTTGTGTTTTATCTTTATTCCTCCAGTATTAAGCACAATAGATACGTGTAAACAAAACTGTTAAATATCAGTTTGCATGAAGATCAGTTTTGATGCTAGCTTTTTTATATAAACAGACTTGGAGTTATATCATTTGTGACTATAAGGAGGCAGAGTAAATCACAGTACTGTTTTTACAGAGAGCTTTTAAAGGATCTGTAGGCTTAAAAAATTATCTGCACTCTTCCCTCTTATAAACATCATCTCTGAACCCTGAGTTAGGATCTCATTGCTGTAGTGATTTAAACATCTGCTCAGTGGTATATGTGCTGTGATTTCAGCCACTATTACAGCACTCATGGGTAAGATCACTGAAAAACATGCGTTTAATTTCTATGTTGTATGGTTTCCTGAGAGTCTTATTTTTGTGTGCATAGTTACCATAAATGTATTTTCTGTAGGAACATCTGCTCAGCAATTGGATGCAACATTTAGTACTAATGCTTCCCTTGAGATATTTGAATTAGACCTTTCTGATCCGTCCTTGGATATGAAATCTTGTGCCACTTTTTCTTCTTCTCACAGGTATGAGATCCAACCATAAATTCATGTGGCTATATTTGAATGACTGTTGTGATTTGGGCCTAGTTTTTCTATAAATATATCATTCTTAGAAACTGCAAAGAATATTACCAACAATGACATGAAATATTTTGTGAAAAAATATATTTGTGAATTTCTGTGGAAGTCAAGAAGAGTCCATGTCTATTGATTTTCTAATTGTTGACTGTTATGTGAGATAGGAAGGAGAGGATCCAGTTTCTAGTATTTTTCCCCCTCATGATATAGTAGAGTTACTTTTTTTATATTTATATAAAGATTTTATTTGACCTGGCTGGTATGGTTCAGTGGATTGGGCACTGTCCCAAAAACCAAAAGGTTGCAGTTCAATTCCAGGTCTGGGCACATGCCTGGGTTGCAGGCCAGGTCCCTGGTTGGAGTCATGCAAGAGGCTACTGATCAATGTTTCTGTCCCACTCTTTCTCCCTCCCTTCTCCTTTCTCTAAAATAAATAAAATATTTTTTAAAAAATAGAGCTGAAGGGAGGGAGAAAGAGAGGGACAGAAACATTGATGTGTGAGAGAAGCCTTGATTGGTTGCCTCTCGCATGCACCCCAACCAGAGATAAGGCCTGGAAGTCCGGCATGTGCCCTGACCAGAATTGAACTGGCAACTTTTGGCATTGTGGGATGGTGCTCAACCAACTGGGCCATGCCAGCCAGGGCTTTCTTAGAAAATTTTAGGTGATTCCCTTCACATTTACTGTTTAACAAATCACTTGTTGGTAAGCACTTCCATAGTCAAATAGAATCAAGGGAAGTGGTTGATTAGCTCTATTTTTCAGATAAACCAAAAGCAGCCTAGAAAGATCAACTAACTTGCCCAGGCCTAACAGTTTCTAGATGGTGAAACCACTTGTAACTCCGTATCTTTGACACACAAATCAAGTACACTTTGTCATAGTCTATTACCTCTTACAAAAGCATATTTTTACTCTTTCAAGTTACAAAATCAAATATGAACATGAGTATAATATCTAAAGTGCCATTTCACCAAGTCATTCACAGCTACCAGGACTAGAGGAGAAGCAGTGTTTTGGCAGTATTTATGAATATGTGAAGAATTAAATGTATGATTTCAAATTAAATTCTACATTTATTTGACTTCCAAAATTAGTGGCTTTACTCATTTTCTCTTAAAGGTACCACAAGTTGATATGGGGGCCTCATAAGATGGATTCCAAAGGAAATATCTCTGGAGTTCTGATTGCGGGTGGTGAAAATGGAAATATTATTCTTTATGATCCTTCTAAAATTATAGCTGGAGAGAAGGAAGTTGTGATTGCACAAAATGACAAGCATACTGGCCCAGTGAGAGCCTTGGATGTGAACATTTTTCAGGTTAGACTTTTGACATTTACTTGAGATATGGGCTACGTACATATTTTCAGTAAGTATATGACTCTATTATGTCTCAGTCTTGGAGTGAAAAGTTAAGAATGTGTGCCTAAGCAGATTGATGAGCGAGTATACATGTTTGAAGAATGGAGTGTTCAGAGTTGAGTTCAGGATAAATGATACTAACTCCATGGAAGGGATCTGGCTGATTTAATTCAGAGAAGTCTGGAGATGTCATACATCTGGATAGTATTTAAACATTAGGAGCCCCATAATTCAGAAACCTTGCTTTTTAAAAGTTTGTATAATGCAGCATTGGGTTGATGCTGTGATGTCTGGGTTAATCCACTGTTTTATTAATTGAGAAATTTGGTATTTATGACAAAGAGGTCACTACTGTATGACATAATTAGAAATATACACAACTATAGTGCAAATTTAATTAGACAATTAAGAGTCTACTGTTACTATTATAAACATTACTGAATATTAATTTTATAAATATATAGGTTAATAAAGATCTTGAGTTAATAGACTACTAGAGCCTATCAAGCAAAAAGAATAACTTTATCTTAAAGTTTATATTAGTTTATAAAGTTTATTTTAGTTTATAGTGTTATATGTACATACTTAAGATACAGAACTTAAAGCCCAAAATTCTTCGTTTCTGCCATCATGGTATTTATTCTTCAGATTAGAAAGCTAGTTCCTTTGTGACTCGAATCAAACAGCTGCTGATTTTTGGTTAACGTCTTGTATTATAGGTACCTATTACCATAGAATTCCTCTATTTTCAGTTATATGTCTGTTGATCAGAGAAGAATTTATGACAGTGAACAATAAAGGATGAAGATTAATACATGAAACTCATTATCTTGCTGTACTTCATGTCAGTTTTAGGGTCTTTTTGACCATAAAGGTATGCAACAGAGAAAACCTAGAAATATTGCCACCTGCAACAAGATTGAGTATAAAGGAAATAGAATTATGTGAGGGATTTAAGAGGAGAGATTTTACTAGCACTACCTTGGTCTGGCTCCGGAAGCTGGGTTTGCAGTCCCCGGAGATAGATGCCATTATTTTAGGATTCAGTATTTGCCTGAAAGCAATAATTGATGATCTGTTTTTGCTTTCCACATTCGGATTCCCTTCCAGTGATTTAAAACCACAAATGATAATTCCCATGTGGTTGCATGAATTTAACCATGTAATTATTTTTTAATGTCTTGTATTAAAATGTCAATACACACATTATCTTTTTGAGTTAAATAGAATTTTATATGTTTTCTAAGAAACTATTTAAATTTTACAGTTATTCATAGTAGTTAGAAATTCATACTTTCTGCTTCTTTATTTAAATAAAAAAAATTTATGACCTAAAACTGACAGATCCTTCCAGGTATGAACTGAGTTAACCTGAGTTCTCTCAAATTTTTTAAGTGCTATTTAGTTATTAATTGTCTCTTATTGCAGACTAATCTGGTGGCCTCTGGTGCTAATGAGTCTGAAATTTACATTTGGGATCTAAACAACTTTGCAACTCCAATGACACCAGGAGCCAAAACACAGGTATTACAGATTTTGATGTAATCAGAAGAGCCAAAATCAGTTCTTCTATCCTTAATGTATTTCAGGTTTTTTTCCCACACTAAATATATTTGTTTAAAATCCATGTTTAGATGTCATTGACTTTTCTTCAGGGCAGTGGAGTATTAATCAGTCTTTTTCAAAATACCAGTGAGTCTTTCAACAGCGAATATTTATTCAGTGCATCTGCTGGAGACTGTTCATTGTAGTAGACACACAATAGTGAATAAAATAGTTGTCTTTAATAATTTTCTTAGATATAGTATTTTAACACAATCCAACCTTAGAATAAAAAAAATAGACTCTCAGGGGAACTTATTTTATTTTTAAAAAGATTTTATTTATTTATTTTTAGAGGGAAAGGGTAGAAGAGAGAAGCATCCGTGTGTGGTTGCCTCTCATGCACCCCGTACTGGGGACCTGGCTCACAACTCAGGCTTGTGCCCTGAGTGGGAATCAACTGGGGGACCCTTTGGTTCATAGGCTGGCATTTGATCCACTGAGCCACATAACCAGGGCAGGGAACTTATTTTTAAAAAAGCAACCCAGCCCTAGCTTGAAGTCCAGAAGATCCACAGGATTATTGAGTTCTGGACAATTTCACGTTCCAGGTCAGTCACCTGTTTTATTCTGGTGTGATGGCTCCAAGGCATTATTCCCTATACTTAATAATTTTTAAAATATTTCACTTATTATTTACTTTTAGAGAGAGGGGAAGGGAAGGAGAAAGAGAGAGAAACACCATTCGGTTGGCTTCTATACACACGCTGACTGGGGACTGAACTCTCAACCCAGGCATGTACCCCATCCAGGAACTGAACTGGCGACCTTTCGCTTTGAGGAATGACCTAGCCACACCACTCAGGGCTGTACTATGTATTCTTGATAAGTTGAGAAACAGCAGTTCTTCTGCTGCCTCTTTGAGTTTCTTTGTGTTGTGTAGACTACTCAATTTGAGTAGCCATTACAAAGATAATGGGACCCTAACATTTGCCAGTCTGAGGTTGGCATGATGATAGCGTGTGGTTGACCATTATAATGATATTTTTCTAGTTGTCTAGGCTATAACTTTTGCTCTGCCTAGTTGTTATATGGACCCACATCTGCTTTGTGGTCCCCTATGTACCTTGCGGCACTTGCAAAATAAAGAAACAGGGCTTTATTTATAACGGGAACTTAATAAATCCCTAGTGGATGAGACAATATGAAATTGTTGTATATGTTGAGAGTTTAGGAATGTAAAGCAGATTTGTGGAGTAGACATTAGATTTTTAAGTAATCTGTTTTTTAAAAAGGAGGATCAGATGTTATGGTTAAATTTGATTATAATTGAGAAATGGTTTTTAATAGTTTATTCTTTATAGCCCCCAGAAGATATCAGCTGCATTGCATGGAACAGACAAGTCCAGCACATTTTAGCATCAGCCAGTCCCAGTGGCCGGGCCACTGTATGGGATCTTAGAAAAAAATGAACCTATCATCAAAGTTAGTGATCATAATAACAGGGTAAGTGTATGATTGATTTGTGATGAATATTTTGTAGGTAATCCTATTCTTCTGTAGGTAATCCTATATTGTTTGTCAGAGCTGGCAACAAATCAAATTTCTGTAAAGTCATAGCCTGTGTTTTCGTGGACCAGTCATGTTGGAACAATAAGACTTTTCCTTAGGGAAAATAAAGTTCTCAGTAAACCATGTTGGATATTATTAATGATGAAGAGAGAGATTGGGGCCTTATTCCATGATATTCTGCTGATTCTGCTAGCTGTTCCAAAGCATTACAACAACTTTTTAAAAATACATTTTATTTATTTTTAGAGGGAGTGGAAGGGAGTTACAAAGAGAAGGAGAGAAACATTGACGTGTGAGAGAAACATGTTGCCTCTTGCACGTGCCCTGACCAGGGATCAAACCAGTGACCTTTCACTTTGCAAGAAGACACCCAACTGAGCTACATCAGTCAGGGCTACAGCAACTTTTTAATTCAGCTTTACTTTTCTCTAAAATGTGAAGATTTTCCCTGAAAGTAATTTTATAACTGAACTTGTAGTTTCTAAACTCCTGGCTTCATCCCGTCTATTAGGTACTGCTAAAGTGAGCTAATGTTCTTCTCCTACTGCCTAGTCAATACTGCTTTATAACATATCAAATTTTTTGCTTTAAATTTCTTAATATTATGCCATCATGTCCTGGAAGATGATTTAGATACCATTAGGGCCTTGTTTTGTTAGTTTGTTTTTAATTACATTGTATAGCTGCACATTTTCAAAAATAGGTTTGCTTAAATCAGAGAATACATACATGATATTTCAACAACAAGAAACTAGAAGAATATTTCTCCAGGATGTTGTTTTCCAGTGAATCAGGAGTTTTAAAACAAGTTTAATGAAACAGAGTATACAGTAAGCATTTCAATCATATTCTGGAATACTTAATAGGATCTGAACTTCCAAGTAATTGTCAGTAATGTTAATTTATCCCCGTCTGAACATTTGATGGTACTTGTTACTTAGACATATTATCTTGGTTGTTCTGGTAAAACAGAAAAAGATGTGGATTTTTATTATTAAAATCTTTGTTATTTTTATTGTTTGGAAATGTTAAATTTTAAATTTAATATAAAACTTGCTTTTAGTTATAATTTTGGTGGGAAAACCTTTTTGATATAGAATAATTCTATCCCAGAATGGCTTTATGTGTCAAATAGCTGGATGAATTGAAAACATTTAAACTTTTTACTTTTAAGACTACTGTTTAACAAAATCCCTTATAGGGATTAATTTAATCCCTTATAGATTTTCTTAAATTGAATATTGGGGTGACATTGGTTAGTAATATTATATAGGTTTCAGGTCTACAATTCTATAATATATCATCCCATATATTTTATTGTGTGTTCACTACTGCAAGTGAAGTGTCCTTCCATTACCATATATTTCTCCTATACCCTCTTCAACTTCTCCCCAGATTTTTTTTTAAATAGACTAAGCCTGAGCTGATATTTTCTACTTTTTGTTTCAACAAAAGTATATTCCTTAAGTTCATTTTGGCTTTCATAAAATAATATGATTAATAAAATATGGTCCTTAACTATCTGCAGATGCATTGCTCTGGGTTGGCTTGGCATCCTGATGTTGCTACTCAAATGGTCCTCTCATCTGAAGATGATAGGTTACCAGTGGTCCAGGTGTGGGATCTTCGCTTTGCTTCTACTCCACTCCGTGTCCTGGAAAACCATGCCAGGTATCATGCTTCTCTTAACGAACTTGTTTATTTTTAAAAATATTTACTTACTACTTTGAATTATCAGATAATTTTTATTAAGTTAAGTTTTTATTTTGATTTAAAAGCAAAAATTTTTGAGAAAGTAGGTAGTTTATTCTGCTTTTCAGTTTTAGAGCATCTGAAAAGCAGATGCTCTAAAAAATGACATGAGAATTTTCTCATGTTAACATTTTAGTAGCATTAAATTTAGTTCGTAATTTGACAGATTACCTGCCATTGATATTCAGGTACCCAGGGAGTTTCTACATATTTGTTCAATAAATTTTTTAAAATGTACTTACTATTTTTAGAGTGAGAAGAAGGGAGAAGGAGAAAGAGAAAAAGAAAAAATACATCAGTTTCTTGTTCCACTTAATTTATGCATTCATTGCATGATTCTTATATGTTCCCTGATTGGAGACTGAACCTACAACCTTGGCATTCCGAGACAATGCTTTAACCAACTAAGCTATGCAGCCAGGGCATAAACTAAAGCTTTAAATCCATTCTTCCCTCTGGGTAGTAGATTTGCACACTAAAAAGTCTTAAAATTGTGACCTCTCCTTGAGTTTCTTATAAGGAAAAAAAGAGTCCAGTCAAAATGTAATCCCTAATCAGATGTTATACTTTAGTTAGCTTTTAGTAAAGAAGGGATGATTCTGAGAAATTTTGTTTGTTTTTAATTATATTTTATTGATTATGCTATTATAATTGTCCCAATTTTTTCACCCTTTCCCCCTCCACTGAATACCCCCTACTCTCTCAGCGATGCATATAAGTTCTTTGGCTTCTAGATTTCCTATACTGTACTTTACATCCCATGACTATCTGTAACTACCAATTTGTGCTTTTTAATCCTTTTACCTTTTCACCTCTCCCCCTAGCCCCCCCATCCTACACCTCTCCCCCTAGCCCCCCCCCATCCTACCTGGCTGACACCAACTCATTCTCTGTATTTTTGATTCTGTTCTGTTTTGCTTGTTTGCTTAATTTTTTTCATTCTGTTGTTGATACATAAGTATTTATGGCCATTTTGTTCATAGTTTTGATCTTTTTCTGAAATAAGTCCCTTTAACATTTCATATAATAATGGCTTAGTGATGATGAACTAACTACTTTAGCTTTTTCTTGTCTGGGAAGCTCTTTATATGCCTTTTGATTTTAATTATAGCTTTACTGGATAGAGAAATCTTCCTTGTAGGTCCTTGTTCTCCTGGCTTTGAATATTTCTTACCAATCCCTTCTAGCCTGCAAATTTTCTTTTGGGAAATCAGCTGACAGTCTTACGGGAACTCTCTTGCAAGCAACTACCTACCTTTTTCTTGCTGCTTTTAAAATTCTCTCTTTGTCTTTAACCTTTGGCATTTTGATTATGATGTGTCTTGGTGTGGTTCTTTTTGGATCAGTTTTGTTTGGGACCCTCTGTGCTTCCTGGACTTGCATCTTTATTTCCTTCACCAAATTAGAGAAGTTTTTTTCATTATTTTTTCAAATAGATTTCTAATATCTTGCACTTTCTCTTCTCCTTCTGGCACCTTATACGAATGTTGAAATGCTTCAAGTTGTCCCAGAGGCTGCTTATACTATCCTCATTTTATTGGATTCTTTTTTCTTCTTGTTGTTTTGATTTGTGTGTGTGGGGGGGGGGGGTTTGTTGTTTTGTTTTTTTGTTTCCTTATGTTCCAAATCATTGATTTGATTCTCTGCTTCATCTACTCAACTGTTGTTTCCCTGTAAATTGTTCTTTATTTCTATTAGTGTATCATTCATTTATAACTGGACCTTTTTTATGCTGTTGATCCTCACTAAAATCCCTGAGCATCCACATAACCAGTATTTTGAACTCTGTATCTGATAGATTGCTTATCTCCATTTTGTTTATTTCTTTTTCTGGAGTTTTGATCTGATCTTTCATTTGGGTCATGTTTCTTTGTCTCCTCATTTTGGCTGTCTCCGTGTGTTTGTTTCTGTGTATTAAGTAGAGCTGCTATGACTCCCTGTCTTGGTAGTGTGCCCTAATGTAGTAGGTGTCCTGTAGGGTTCAGTGCACAGCCTCCCCTATCACTCAAGCTGGGTACTCAATGTGTGTCATTTGTATGGGCTGAGAACACCTTCCTTTTATAATTGAGCCCTGACTTCTGTTGGCCAGTCAATGGAAGGGATTTAGCCTGGCCAGTCAGCTGCAAGGACTGGTTGTGACCACTGACTACCACCCTCTGCCCTCTGTGGAGAATCAGCTGTGCAGGGGCCCACTGTACAGAGCAGAGCTTACTTCAGCAGTGCTGTGGAACCCACTTGTGTTCTGTCTGGGGCCCCTATGCATAAGCTATAAAATGGTTTGCAGCTGGGTGCTTCTTCTGCTGTGTTTAGAGGTGCCCTAGTGAGGCCAGTCTGTGAACCATTGCCAACTGTTGTTAGTGTTGGGCCTGGGACCACTTAGCAAGATTCGGGGGCTTGCTGAAGCCAGCCTCTGCTTTTTTGAGTGGATTCAGAAAGATCAGAAGCATGTGTCAATACAAGTCATTCGTATGGAAAAGCCACTGCTAGCCACTTGGGTGGGCCTGTAAGTTGGATGGGGTCTCAGGGAATCACTATGACTGGGCAAACAGTGTAAAATATGGTGCCCGCCATGTTCTGTGGCTCTGTTGGGGAAGGGCTCAGAAGAGCATCAGTGGGCCCTGGCTGGTGTGGCTCAGTGGATTGAGTGTTGGTCTGCGAACCTAAGGGTGCCAGTTTGATTCCGAGTCAGGGCACATGCCAGGGTTGTGGGCCAGGTCCCCAGTAGGGGACACGGAGAGGCAACCACATATCAGTGTTTCTCTCCTTCTCTTTCTCCCTTCGTCTCTCTCTAAAAATAAATAAAGTCTTAAAAAAGAAAACAGAAGAGGAGCAATGACTTCTGCCTTCCTTTCTGTCATGGAGAAAGCTGTCGTCCAAATCTAGCTCTGATGCCAGACACTTCAGTTCCTCTCTATATGCCACTGGTGCCTTTCAAGCTGCTGCCCTGGTGCTGGAGCTCAGTGGGAGTGAGTCTGAGTATGTCCATATGTGGGCCCTTTGAGAGGAACTGCCTAGGAATCCAGCACTTTCTTCTACTGACTTAACCTCCCCACTGGTTTTTACAGCCAGAAGCCACAGGGACTTACCTTCCTGTCCCTGAAACCCGTGGACTGGGCAGCCTGGTGTAGGGCTGGGACCACTTGCTCCCAAGATATCCCTCCTGCTTTTTATCCACCACATGTGGGTATGGTATCAGCCATATCCACTGGTATTGGCCAGTTTTGAGTTTCCATGTCTCCACCCCTTCTACCAGTCTGATGGAGGTGGTTTCTTCTTTAATTCCATTATTTGCAGGACCTTTGTTCAATTTGATTTCTGCTGGTTCTGAGTGATGGTTGTTCTATAGTTTAGTTGTAATTTTAATGTGGTTGTGTAAGGAGGTGAGCTGTGTTTACCTAGGCCACCTTCTTGGGTGAAATTATAGCTCCCAGATCTGGGAAGACAGTGGCACCACCAGCTTCTATATCACTCATCTCACAGAACATGCACCACAAGCCCAAGGCCCTTCCAGAAACCTCTGACCCCATCTCCTGGAAGCTGTTGCAACTGATTCTGAGAAACATTTTTCTCACAGTAGATAAGGTTTTTTAAAAAGTTCACTTAACACATTCTCATTGAACACATATTCTGTACCAAATACTGCACAAGAATTCAGTAATATTGTAGGGAAAATTTATGGCCTCAGGGAGCTTACATTGTAGTGGGAGGATAACTAACACTTATATAACATGTAAAGTATGCAAGCACTTTAAATGTTAGCTTGATTAATCCTTATAAAAAACCTATGATGTGCATACTATTATCCCCTTTTACAGATTAGAAATTGAAGCTCAGCAAGATTAAATTTGGCCTGGGTTACATAGGTCAAGTACTGACTTCTACTCCAAATATTGTAATCTCAAAGTCCATATACTATGAATTTTAGGAATGGTTGTAATTTAGCAAGACAGATACCCATACTGGGTGTCAGGAGCAAATCAATGTTTCTTCTTCAATTTTCTTCCTCTAATATGTGTGAGAGTTGGATTATATGATCTTTAGGGTTATTTTCAGATCTGTAATTCTATGATTTAAAAAAAAATTTAAACCTAAATATTTTTTAATGTGATACCAAATATATAGTTTCGTTTAAAAGACATTCTTGATGTGCTTTGAAATTGTTGAGATGTATGATTGGATTCTAAAGGGAGAGGCAGTTTAGAAAGTACATTATTGATGAAATGGCAGAAATTTGAATATGGGTTATTTATTTAAAATAATTGCATCTAAATAATATTTTTTTTAATATGTAATTGTGTTGTGGTCATATAAGAGAATGTTCTTATCCCTGGAGATAAGTGTAGGGGTGTCTCTTATGGTATTGGCACTTAATTCTCAAATAGACACAGAGAGAAAGACATGAAGTAAACATGGCCACAATTATGAATCTAGGTGAGGATTATTAGGGTATACATCACATTGTGCTCATAATTTTTAGAAAGATTTTAACTTTCTAAAAATAAACTCTTGGAAACAAAAGTCATAAAGTATTTGGGTCCTTTTCCTGTATCAGTTTCCTGATTCTGAGGTGACTTAGATTGTAAGAAATATAAAATTAAAAACAACTTTTGGGGGAGCCCTGACTAGTATGGCTCAGTGGGTTGGGTATTGTCCTGCAAACCATAAAATTTGCCAGTTCAATTCTCTGTCAGGGCATATGCCTGGGTTGCTGGTCAGGTCCCTGCTTGGTGGACATACAGGGGGCCACTAATAGTTTTTCACTAATGTTTCTCGCCCTCTCTTTCTTCCTCCCTTCCCCTCTCTCTAAAAATAAATAAATACATATGTACATACATACATACATAAACTCTTGATAACTTTTTGGGGAAAGTAAAACATCTCTAATATACATGTTGAAAATGAGACTTAATCTTTTTTTGTTAACTATGCATTTTAGAATTACTGTGATGTTTTCAGGAGAAGTGAGGGACATTAATTTGTATGTGTGTGTGTTTTTTTTTTTTTTTTAAGAAATATGCAAATAAGCCCTCACTGGGTAGTTCAGTTGGTTGGAGTGTGATCTCATACACCAAAGGTTATGGGTTAGATCCCTGGTTAGGGCACGTACAGGTTTTAGATTCAAGCCCTGGTTGGGGTGTGTACAGGAGGCAACTTAATTGATATTTCTCTTTCTCTCTGTCTTTCTCTCACTCTCTCTCTGTAAAAGCAATAAAAACATATTCTTGAGTGAGGATTTAAAAAATATATGCAAATACACTTCTTGCGTAGTGTTTGTCTAGTCTAGTACTTTCTGCTATCATGTATTTAAATTTTAGTTTCTAGTATTTTCTTTATGTATGATAATGTTTACTTACCTGCTTTTATCTCTAAACAACAAAGGATTAATATAGAAAAGACAAGGTGTTAATAGCATTTTTTTGTGTGTGTGATGGTGAGATTTTTCTTTAACCTAATCTAAGTTTTCAGAACAGGTACCAAAAGTATTACTTTTGTTATACTTAGGATAAAAATCAAAAGCTATTAAAATGCAAAAATGACTGTAAAATCAGATCTTTGGCAAATTGTAAAGTTTTTCTTTTAATTAAAAAATGTCATATACTGGAACTTCTCTGGTAACAAAAGCTAGAAAATGTAGACAAAAAGGAAAATGTGAAATAATTACATTTCCTACCCATCAATAGGTAAAACATTTTGAACATATTTTTCTTTATATGTACGTAACTTCAATTACTATTGTAAATATTTAATGCAATTATGCATTTTATACAAATTAATGTGCAGAGTTAACCTTTTTTATTAATTATAACCAGCATTTAATAGTTATAAATATTTCTATGACAGAATTTTTAACTACACATTTTCTCATCAAAAGATGATCTGTAATTTTTTATTGCGTAATTCACATTGTTGGGCATTTGTTTTTATTTTTTGTTATTATACACTGCACACTGTATTGAATTTTTGTATCTTTGTAATGATTAAAACGCATGTGCACTACTAAACTGCTTCCTGGAAAGACTACGTGAAATTATACTTTTGTTAGTTGTGTATGTCTTTAAAGCTTAGACAAATAATTTGGAGATTTGGTTGTTTTCAAGGTTAAAACTTTCTTCATCTTTTTCTGTTTCGTATAAGGGGGATTTTGGCAATTGCTTGGAGCATGGCAGATCCTGAATTGTTGCTGAGCTGTGGAAAAGATGCTAAGATTCTCTGCTCCAACCCAAACACAGGAGAGGTATGGAGAGGAAACATTTCTCAGATTTACAGCTATCATAATATTTTATTTCTGGCTGAATAAGAAACTTTTCATAAGGATCCTTTTAACACACTATTACAATTCAGGACATGTGAAAGTAGATGGGCCCTGGCTGGTGTAGCTCAGTGGATTGAGCGTGGGATAAGAAACAAAGGGTTGCTGGTTCGATTCCCAGTCAGGGCACATGCCTGGGTTGCAGGCCAGGTCCCCAGTAGAGGGCGTGTGAGTGGCAACCACACATTGATGTTTCTCTCCCTCTCTTTCTCCTTCCTTTTCCTTCTGTCTATAAATAAATAAATAAATAAATAAATAAATAAATAAATCTTTTAAAAAAAGAAAGTAGATGGAGATATGTGTGAAAAGTTAATCTGGTAGAGATTTTTATCAAGAACATTTTCTAGGTTAAGTTGTTTTTTTCTGGGAAAATTAGTCATTAAAGTAGTGTATATGAAACTAGTAATCACCTCTACCCTCCATTTCCAATAAAAAGTGTTTACCTAGACTCAGAAATAGCTGGTTTGATTTATTTAACATGTAGTTTCTGAAAATTGGTGCCTTCAGAATAATAGTGTTCAAGGTTTGGGTCTTTTTTCCTGCTTTATCATCTCTGAAGATCTTCTTTGACTTCTGGAAATCAGTAGAAATAGCTTTTTAATTTCTCTTATTTTTAACTACACATTTTCTCATCATATTATATCCTATTATATCATATTATATCCTTGCTGAATTATTCAGCAAGGATATAATATTTTGTAATATTAATTTGTTAAATGTTTTACCCAAAGAAATTTAGATGTAGGAATGCCCTGGCCAGGTAGCTCAGTTGGTTGGTGCTTAGTCTCCATACATAAGAAGGTTGCAGGTTCATTTCCTGGTCAGGGAACATACCTGTCAGGGGGCATATGAGAGGCAACTGACTGATGTTTCTTTCTCTCTCTCTCTCTCTCTCTCTCTCTCTCCCCCTCTCTCCCTCTCTCCCTCTCTCCCTCTCTCCCTCTCCCGTCCTCACTCTCTCAAATCAATGAACATATTCTCGGGTGAGGATTAAAAAGAGAGAGAGAATGTAAAAACTATCTCCCTAGAAAAAAGAAATTTAGATGTAGGAAATTTTACATATTTAAATGTAAGTGTTATATAAGTATAATTTTATTTGCTTTGGGTTATGTACTAAAATGTTCTTTTAATTATGATTTTATTATTCTTAATAGTTGAATGGTTTTCCTCTCTTTCAGTACTGGCGAAGACACTGCAGATTTTAATTATAGCTTCTAAACTTTTATTTTTTCTAAGTTAAACTAGATTATTGCAAGTGCTTTGCTAGTTACCCTGATGGAATGCTAGTAAAAATAAGAGTATCTTCAATAGGTTTTAATCTATAACATTAAAATAAAAACAAGTACTTCTGTTGCTTGATTTGTGGCTTAAAGTTTTCAGATGAAGTGTTGCTTATGAGAATGTAGAAACACTAAATTTAGGAGAGACAAGAGAAAAAATTAAAACAATAAGTTTTGCCTCATTTGATTTGTAGACTAAATAATAGAAATCTTGCATCTTACTTAAACTGTCTTCCCAGGCGAGTTCAAAATTCATGAAAATTACTGTTTTAATTTTATCAGTTATATAAATTGATGAAGTGAATTTTTGCATTTGATTAGTTTTATGTGCTTAGACTTTGAAGTGATAAACTTTTCATGCTTGCTGCAACTAAAATAAGAAACAGTAAATGTTCTGTTCAAATGCCAGTTACAAATACACAGTGATTCAAATATCATGAAGCTTTGACTCTTAGCAACAAATTTGAGCATCAAAGACAAACAGGCCAAATATCTTTTCATTTAATTGTTTTCTTATAAAATAAAACATTATTTTTAAATATTATACAAGCCAAAGTTAAGCTAATTTGACTTATTTTTCTTTTTAAAGATGCATACTGACCCTCTGGTTTTATTGTGGTAAAATATGCATGACACCATTTTAGGCATTTTTTAGTATGCAGTTCAGTAACCTTAGTATATCCACATTATTGTGCATCCATCACCACCATCCATCTTCAGAACTTTTTTATCTTCTATACTTGAATGTCTGTACCCATTAAACAGTTACTCCCCATTCTCTTTCTTAAAGCTGCAAAACCTGTGCTTTATGAGCATGTTGCTAGCACACTAATTTTGAGTTAACAACAATTACTACATTGTAAAGATTTTATATCAGCCATTTCATATAGTTTTTCAATATTTTCCTTATAAGAAAGATTGTTTATGCCAAATTCTGTTTTGATTCTGCAGTAATAAGAATGATGTGTATCTGTTTTCTTGCTTTAATGAAAAGCCAAATTTCTCAGTGAATTCTTTCAAGATTGTTATTAAAATTTGGTCTTCAAGTAGTCTAGATGTAATTGTTTGGGTCTTGGCAAGCAAAAACAGTTGGACAACACACCAGTGATCTTTTAGAGTTTAATAAGCTAACTCTGATAAAGTGTTCTGGTCTTTCACATGCATCTACTAATATTTCAATAAAAACAAAAATATCTGTTTTTAAGATGTGGTTATTCTAAATCTGGTTGAAATTTTGAGTAGCATTCCCTTTTATTATAACAGATCATCATAATGGACTTTCTTGGCCTTAAAGAAATTTTTATACTTGTTTTTCCTAGCTAAAGACACTGTCTACCTGGCTGGCATAGCTCAGTGGATTGAGCACGGGCTGGGTGTCCCGCGTTCGATTCCCAGCCAGGGTACATTCCTGGGTTGCAGGCTATAACCCCCAGCAACCGCACATTGATGTTTCTCTCTCTCTCTCTCTCTCTCTCTCTCTCCCTCTCCCTCTCCCTCTCCCTCCCTTCCCTCTCTAAAAATAAATATAAATAAATAAAATCTTAAAAAAAAAGACACTATCTAAAAGAGAATGTTTAATTAAGCTGTATTTGTTGATCATATTAATTCATGTGTTTTGGCTATAAAGTGATTATACTGTTTTCTGACGTTTTTTTGTCTAGGTCTTATATGAACTTCCCACCAATACACAGTGGTGCTTTGATATTCAATGGTGTCCCAGAAATCCTGCTGTTTTGTCAGCTGCTTCTTTTGATGGACGTATCAGTGTTTATTCTATCATGGGAGGAAATGCAGATGGTTTAAGGCAGAAACAAGTTCACAAGGTAATAGGAAATGTTGAGGTTTTTTATTATAGAAACTGAAAAAATCATTTTATTGTGTAATTATCTTGAAAATGATGTTATAGATCAACAAAACTGATTAATTGGATAATTGTGATGAAAAAAATTCTTGCATATGACTTAAAAACGTGTAATAGAGTCTTATATAAATTAGAAGTTCTCACATTATTGTTTTTTTTAGCTTTCATCATCTTTTGGAAATCTTGACCCCTTTGGCACAGGACAGCCTCTTCCTCCATTACAAATTCCTCAGCAGGCTGCTCAGCATCATATAGTGTTGCCTCTGAAGAAGCCACCGAAGTGGATCCGAAGGCCTATTGGTGCTTCCTTTTCAGTAGGTGAATTTGTTATTATGGTCCACAATCACAAAAGCCTTATAGGATCACTCTCATGGAAGAAGATTGAGTTTGAGATGTGTCTGTGACTTTTTTTCCCCCAAACATTGGTTTATTTTTTAAAGATTTGATTGATTGATTGATTGATTTTTAGAGAGAGGGGAAGGGAGGGAGGAAAGGAAGGAGGGAAACGTGAATGTATGGTTGCCTCTCATGTGCCCCCAACTGGAGACCTGGCCCACAACCTAGGCGTGTGCCCTGACTGGGAATCAAACCTGCGACCCTTCAGTTCGCAGGCTGGCACTCATCCACTAAGCCACACCAGCCAGGGCTGATTTCTTTATTTCAGGATTTTACCCAAACTGAGTAAGGTAATGATGTGTTCTTAGTAGAAGGACACTTAAGTTACACATCTTTTTTTTTTAACATTGTTATTCTGTTATAGTTGTCCCAGTTTTTCCCCCTTTACCCTCCTCTGCCTAGTACCTTCCCTTCACAGTCATTCTCCACCCTGTTGTCCATGTCCATGGGTCATTTATTCATTGTCCTTGACTAGTCCCTTCTCCTTCTTTCCACCCTTATTGCCCTCCCCTCTCTCCTCTGTCAGTCTGTTCCTTGTTTCTGTGCCTCTGGTTCTATTTTGCTTGTTAGTTTGGTTGGTTAGGTTCCTCTTAGAGGTGAAATCATATGGTTTTTGTCTTTCACAACCTGGCTTATTTCACTTAGCAAAATATTCTCTAGTTCTGTCCATGCTGTCACGAAGGGTAGGAGTTCCTTCTTTCTTACCTCTGCATAGGATTCCATTGTGTAAATATACCACAGTTTTTGATCCACTCATTTCACTCATTTACTGATGGGCACTTACAGCACTTGGCTGTTGTAAACAGTGCTACTATGAACATTGGGGTGGGTAAGTTCTTTCTAAATGGTGTTTCAGGATTCTTAGGGTATAACTCCAGCAGTGGAATTGCTGGGTCAAAAGGCAGTTACATTTTTAATCTATTTCTGAGGAAATTCCATACTGTTTTCCCCAGTGGTTGCTCCAGTCTGCATTCCCACCAACAGTGCACTAGGTTCCCTTTTCTCCACATCCTTCATGACACTTGTTTGTTGATTTGTTTTGATGGCCATTCTGGCAGATGTGAGGTGATATCTCATTGTGGTTTTAATTTGCTTCTCTCTGATGGCTAGTGATGCTGAGCATCCTTTCATATGTCTCTGGGTGCTCTGTATGTCCTCCTTGGAGAAGTGTCTTTTCAAGTTCTTTGCCCATTTTTTAATGGGGTTGCTTGTCTTCCTGGTGTAGAATCCTGTGAGTTCTTTATATGTTTTGGAGAGCAAACCCTTGTCCAAGGTATCATTGGCAAGTATGTTCTCCTATACAATTGGTTCTCTTTTCATTCTGATGATGGTTTCTTCAGCTGTACAGAAGCTTTTAATTTGACGCAGTCCCATTTGTTTATTTGTTCCTTTATTTTCCTTGCCTCAGGAGATACAGCGGCAAAAATATTGCTGCATGGGACATCTGAAATTTTGCTGCTTATGTTTTTTTATAGGTCACAAGGGTGTCCAACATGTGGCCCAAGATGGCTATGAATGCAGACCAACACTAAATCATAAATTTACTTAAAACCTCTTTTTTTTAAATTTTTTTAATTTTATTTTAATCATTGTTCAAGTACAGTTTTCTCCCATTTACTCCCATTCCAGCCCACCCACCCAACCCTCCCTACTTCCCTCCCATTACCTCCCACCCCTAGTTTTTGTCCATGTGTCCTTTAAATTTGTTCCTGTAAACCCTACCCATTCCCCCCTGAAATTCCCTCTTCTCTCCCCTCTGGTCACTGTCAGTCTGTCCCCTATTTCAGTGTCTTTGGTTATATTTTGCTTGTTTCTTTGTTTTGTTGTTTAGGTTCCTGTTAAAAGTGATATCATGTGGTATTTGTTTTTCACTGCCTGGCTTGTTTCGCTTAGCATAATGCTTTCCAGCTCCATCCATGCTGTTGCAAAGGGTAGGAGCTCCTTCTTTCTTTCTGCTGCATAGAATTCCATTGTGTAAATGTACCATAGTTTTTTGATCCATTCATTTACTGATGGGCATCTAGGATGCTTCCAGCCCCTAGCTATTGTAAATTGTGCTGCTATGAACATCGGGGTGCAAAGAAAACCTTTTTTTGCTCATCAGTTTTAATTAGTGTTTGTGTATTTTATGTATAGCCCAAAGACACCAATAGGTTGGACACCCTGCTAGGACATTTATGGTATCAAAATTCATAATTAAGTCTTTTATCCAATTTGAGTTTATTGTGACTTTTTCTTCATTTAAAATGTCTTCTCAGGAAAAGTGGTACCTTCCCCCTTTTTTTTCTTTTTTAAAGGTAAAATATATGGGAGACCCCCCAAAACCTGGGATTTATTTATAAAAGATTATGTATTCTTACATGTTTAGACTTCAGTCACCTTCAAAGTACCCTCCATTTGGTTACACATATTGAGACCTTTTTTTCACTGCTCAAAACAGGTTTTGAACTTGTCAGTTTTGATGCCTTTTAGTGCCTCTGCTGTTTTGTTTGTTTGTTTGTTTTGTTTTGTTTTGTTTTGTTTTGCTTGGCTTCTTCCATATTGGCAAATCGTTTCCTTTTGAGGACTTTTTTTCATCTGGGGAAACAAAAAAGCCACTCAGGTGAGATCGGGTTAATAGAGTGGGTAGGGCACAAGGGTGATGCCATTTTGGATCAATAACTGTTGAACACTGAGCACAGTATGGGCAGGTGAACTCGTAAATCACCCATCATGAAGTGGGCAAACATGTTGAAAGAGTCTTCATAAAAAAACCTCACTGAAGCTGATTGCAGCCTCTCACAACAAGACCATCTGGTACACTGATACAGATGAGTTCCGAGAACACTTACCTAGCAGGGGAAGCCTGTACTACAGGAAAATAATTCTGTTTTGGGGGGGATCCCCTCTTCATACATAACAAAAGATTCACTATTTTTGACCATTTTAAAATATACATTTCATTGGCAAAAGTACATTCACATTGTTGTACAACCTTCACACCATCCATCTCTCCCAATCACCTTCTTAAACTTATCTTCCTTCTCTCTTTCTCCTTCCTTCATTCCTTTTCTTCTTTTAGGAGATTATGTCCTTTCTTCTCTTCTTCCCTTCCTTCTAGCTTTTTTTTTTTACTTGCCAATTTTTTTAATATGGTAAAAACACAAAGTATGAAGTTTACCATCTTAACCCTTTTTAAGTGTGTAGTAGTGTGTTACCTACATGCATATTGTTGTGCAACAGATCTCTCAGACTTTTTTATCTTACAAAACTGAAACTCTATACCTATTGTACAACAACTGCCTATTTTTCTCTCCCAGCCTCTGGTGGTCACATTCTACTTCCTGATTCTTTGACTTTGACTACTTTACTTTTTAATTTTTTCTATTTTTTCAAATTATAAGAGCAAGTTTACTTAGTCACAGAGGTAGAAGAAACGAGCTGTAGAAAAAATGGGCTCAAGAAACAAGTTATAGCAGAAAAAGGGGCCCCTAGAGTTTAGGAGAAAGAGGAAGAGAAATGTATGCCTTGAGAGATGTGAGAGTTTCATGTGTGTGGGATTCAGACACGTGGGGCAACAGGAGGAGGTAGAGGGGTGGGACCATGCATGTGGGCCGTGGAGGTAGAAGGGGGTTGGGAAAGGTGCAGGTAGGATCCATAGAGAGAGCCTTTGACTTTTACTATTTTAGATACCTTATATATGGAATCACACAGTTTTTGTCTTTTTGTGATTGAGTTGTTTCTCTTAGCATAATGTCCTTATGTTGTGTACGACAATATTTTCTTCTTTGAAAGACTGAATAATATTTCATTGTATACATACATACAACATTTTCCTTAACCATTCATCTGTCAATGGACATTTAGGTTGTTTTTACTGTGGAGACTAATGCTGCAGTAAGCATCTATGTGGAATATGTCTTTGAGATCCTAGCTTTCCTTGAAGGTGCAGGCAACTTTTATCTACATACACTGTTGCTCTGTGTAGGAAGACAGATGGGAAAAAAAAAAAGGAAAAGGAAAAAAAGCTCTTAAGAGCTATTGCAAGCTTTTTACATTTCTTCCCTGAAAAATAATGTTAATCCATGCTCTCCCAGGAGAGTGTCGGGGTGAAGCTGGAAGTGTTCTTCCTCTGCTCTTCCTTTTAACAGAATGCAATGAAAATTACCTCTCTGTGGCCAGAAGGGGTAAATGGTCTGTATCCCCCTCAAATATCTTTGGGTTACCACCACTGATGTTGTAGAATTTTTGTTTATTTTGTGATTGTCTTTGGAAATGTAAATAATTTACTTAAACATCCATGCCTTCTTGTATCAACTTTACATAGTATTAATTGAAACTTTTATGTAACATTAGCACATTTATATTTTTTATTTTTACCTTTCTAAATTTTTTCTTTCAATTTTCATAAATTACATCACCATGATTTTAAAAATAATTTTGTTATTTTCAGTAACAATATCAAAGTTTTCTGTATTTGTTGTGGATGATTTAAAAAACTGATGACTTGCCCTGCCTGGTGTGGCTCAGTGGATTGAGCTGTGGCCTGCGAATTAAAGGTTTACTGGTGCAGTTCCCAGTCAGGGCACATTACTGGGTTGCAGGCCAGGTCCCCAGTAGAGGGCGTGAAAAAAGCAGCCACACATTGATATTTCTCTCCCTCTCTCCCTCCCTTCCCCTCTCTAAAAAAATAAATAAAATATTTAAAAACAAAAAACTGATGACTAAACAGCATTTACATTATTTATAATACATTATAATAATATTACATAAAGCCAAGTAAATGAATAAACCTGATCATCATGTAAAATTCAGTTTAGGTCTTGCTCTTGAGTGTTTTCTCAAATTTTCCTAGAACTTGGGGAAACCCAGTACTTTTGCCCTTCTGTGAAATTCTGTATCATGTGTGGTATTGTCCACACTTCATTTGACACTTATATGTGCCTGTTGTATCCAGTTTTATTTTCATGTTAAGTTTCTGAAGGATAGTGATTTGTAGTTTCTTCTGTCTTGACATTTTCTATAATGTCTGATATAAAAAACACTTTGAATATATTAGATATTTAATAAGATAAGTTGGTGTAAAGTCCATAATCCTTGTATAAAAATTACCGAGTATAAGAATCAAATTTGTTCCTGTACTTTCTTTCTTTATTTTGATTTTTAAGATTTGATTTTATTTATTTTTAGAGAGAGGGGAAGGGAGGGAAAGAGGGAGAGAAGCATCAGTGTGTGGTTGCCTGTCATGTACCCCCTACTGGGGACCTGGCTGGCAACCCAGGAGGTGTGCCCTGACTGGGAATCGAACCAGTGACCCTTGGTTCACAGACCTGCACTCAATCCACTGAGCCACACTAGTCAGGGTTTGTACTTTCTTCTTTACCTATATTTTTATGAATACATTAATTGGATATTAACTGTCTACTTACTGTATACAAGGCAGATATTGGATCCTTTAGGCGATACAAGAATAAAGTAGACACAGAATCTTTCTTGTAAGTGTAGAGGAGGTACAACTTTGCATCTGTCTCCCTTTCTAGGTTTTTCATGCTGGCTTGAGAGTTAAGTTGACATAAGACAAATTAACAGAAGTAAAGCATACAAAGAAGTAGTAAAACCTAGGTTGAACAAATGGGAATTGTAGAAAAGTAAATATATAGAGACTAGAGGGAAGTAATTGATATGTAAAAGTTTTGTTTGTTATTTAACAAGTGTTTTTTGTACAGATTTCTCTCGGCCTTAACTCTCATTGCTAGTGATAAGAATGTTTCCTTACTCTTGGCATAGGGAGAATAGCTCCCATGGGAGTTTCATCTCCTACTTTTAGAAAGAAAAGAGGAGTGCCTTTCTACTCCTGCTCATTTTCAAGTACTCTTTTTTTTTTTTAAGATTTTATTTATTTATTTTTACAGAGGGAAGGGAGGGAGGGAGGGAGAGAGAGACAGACAGACAGACATCCATGTGCGGCTGCTGGGGGTCATGGCCTGCAACCCAGGCATGTACCCTGAATGGGAATTGAACCTGCGACACTTTGGTTCGCAGCCCACGCTCAATCCACTGAGCTACGCCAGCCAGGGCTCAAGTACTCCTTAGCTCAAAACAATCATTATGCCAAATGGTGTATTTTGGAAGAGTGGCATATACTGCCTTCTCCAAAACAGCACCTAGACCAGAAGGTGGGGCAAATACATGTAACTAGTAGTTTAATCAAAAGAGATCTATAGTACACTATTACACTGAAGGCATCTGGGTTGGAAGAGGTGACATTTGCCTAGGCCTTAAAAAGAAGTAGCATTGAGCCCAGGCTGGTGTGGTTCAGTGGATTGAGTGCTGGCTTGCAAACCAAGGGGTCACTGGTTTGATTCCCCGTCAGGGCACATGCCTGGGTTGTGGGCCAGGTCCCCGATGGGGGGTGTGTGAGAGGCAACCACACGCTGATGTTTCTCTCCCTCTCTTTCTCCCTCCCTTCCCCTCTCTCTAAAAATAAATAAAATATATATTTAAAAAAAAAGAAGTAGCATTGAGTATGTGGAAGTTAGTAAAATGAAGTAGGTTAGAAATTGTAGGGCCCATTTTATCTAGAAGGCGGGTTTTGTGAAGAGGAATAATAATTGAAGACTAGGGTCAGATGGTAGAGTGTGGGAGAGTGTGTCCCCTAATTTTACCCAAAGGATATATATTTAGGTCACAGTCCTTTCTTTTAGCATGTGTATAATAAAAACATTTTTTGGCCACATACTTGTGTTCAAACTGACTTTGTTTGTTTGTTCTTTTATAGTTTGGAGGCAAACTGGTTACCTTTGAAAATGTCAGAATGCAGTCTCAGCAGGGAGCTGAGCAACAGCAGCAGCAGCAGCAGCACGTGTTCATTAGTCAGGTTGTAACAGAAAAGGAATTCCTCAGCCGATCAGATCAACTTCAGCAGGTCATGCAGTCACAAGGCTTTGTCAAATATTGTCAGAAAAAAATTGACGCTTCTCAGTCAGAATTTGAAAAAAATGTGTGGTCCTTTTTGAAGGTAAAGTTTGTATTAAAACAATTTTATTTCATTATCTGCAGATTTAACTGTTACCATTATATTTTAAATCTGTCTTCCTGGTAAAGAAATATTTGGAAGAATGTGATGTCAAGAACCTCAGGATGAAATTAAGGAAACCTTATGAAGAGCACACAACCTAATTTTTTATGTCATGAATTCTTCTCTTCTTCGAAAAGCCTAACATGAAGTACTTTTTTAATAAGCAAAAAACAATATACAAGAAAGATATAATATTCACCAGACCTATTTTAAAATGAGAACATAGAGCTTAGAATATTAAAAACATAAATATAATAAAAAGTAGAGTATTTATTTTTTGTAGTAGATCCATTTAAGGAAAATGGGAAGAGATGGAAGAGGTGTAGGGGAGAGAGATTGGAGGCATTTCTCATCCCTTTTACTGAGTTGCATTTATGATGGTAGAGTAACAGATAGAATCTTTGGTTCATCATTTGTCTCCACTGGAATGTCTATTCCTTCATAATGAATTTCCCAAAGATGAGAGATCTTGAATACAACAAGGTTAAATTCTAAAATTATACAGTTTTTTTTAACACTTTGTTTTTATTTTAAAGAGAGGGAAAAGGAGGGAGAAAGAGAGGGAGAGAAACATGATATGTGAGAGAATGGTGTATGAGAGAAACATTGATCAGTTGCCTCTTGCATGCCCTGAACTGGTGACCTGGCCTGCAACCCAGGCATGTGGCCTGACTGGGAATTGAACCAGCAACCTTTCAGATAGCAAGCTGGCACTCAATCCACTGAGCCACACCAGCTAGAGCTACAGTTTATTTTTGTATTTTTTAATTAAGTATTAATTTTGGGAAAGAGTTTTAGGATATTGAATATTTCATATAGTATGAGTTTTTCATTCATATAGCCTTCAGACATGAGTTAAGTTTTTATTTATAAAAATTATAGTTTAAAAGTAAACTTATTCAACTAGGATAATTACTAGTATACTCATTAAAAAATTACTTATTTAAAGGAAGAGTATTTGGATTTTTTTCTTGCAGTGAAACTTCTAATTGATATAGTAGACTTTAGATATTTTTAGTAATTCTACTTGAAATTTCATCAGTTAATTAAAAATTAGACCTTTATATGCTGGTCTTTGTTCTAAGAATATGTTTTTTTAAAGGTAAACTTTGAGGATGATTCTCGTGGAAAATACCTTGAACTTCTAGGATACAGAAAAGAAGACCTAGGAAAAAAGGTAAACTTTTAGAAAAGTGAAAAAGTTGTGTTTATACAAGTAGAATATTTCTATAGAATAGGTTTTTTTAAATAAAATTCTACACAGATGATCTCAGTCATTCAATATATATTTAGTAAGAATTTGTGTTTGCTTGCCAAAGTTTTGAATCATATTGTTAAATGTAAAATTCCACTTATACCTGGATTTTGAAGCTCCCAGAACTACCTTTTATTCAAATTTGTTTTAAAGAGCTGTGTCAGGGAGGATTGGGCTTTGCATGATAAGAGGCTATGAATCTCAAATACTGGAAATAACAGAGATTTTAAGAGGGTGTGAAACCAATGGCTCTGGGGAGGGGAGAAAGGGAGAAACTGTTAGAGATCATCCTACATTCACTACAGCTTAAGTGGTAAAAAATGGTACTATTTCAAGCTATCACAGTTTTCCAACCTAGATGTTTATGCCTTTAGCCCACCATTCCCAAAGTGTTTATTGAGTTGATTCAGCTAACAGCTAACTAGTAAACATTTTGGAACAAGGGCAATTTATTGCACTGAACCTGAGTAAACGAAAAGTCCAAGTGATTTGTTTAACATTTTAATTTTAAAAAAGATTCCCTTATAAAAAGAAATTATATTCCAGTTTTATAATTTTCTTCTCTAAGAGGGGCTTAATTATTATTATTCTGCAGTGTTGACATGAACAGCAGTAAAAACACTCTGACTTTGGAAAACTTGAAGGAAATAGTGTAGATTCTTTATGTAATTAACATTAGCCCTTGTCATCCTTTAAAAATGACTAAAGTGTTCTGCAGCATTGCATGGTTGTCACATGCAATTACAGGTTGGATACTGCACACTCTAGGCGTGCTGAGCACATCTTTTAATGTCAAGACAGTCTTGGGGTCACATCACAGCTCCACTGCTTATTGGCTATGTGTCTATGATCACTCCTTAGATTTTTTTTATATTTAACTTTATTATTAGTCTGTGTAGCTTAATGCTATAACTTCTTTAGGTTTTTAAGAGATTAATATCAAAATTCTACTGCATACCAGATAGCAAACACAGGAAATAGAATTTGTCAGAATGCTTTTTTCTTTTAAAGTTTTTAAATTTTTATTTATTTATTTATTACTGATTTTAGAGAGAGAGAGAAACATCAATTTGTTTTTCCACTTCTTTATGCATTCATTGGTTGATTCTTATATGTGCTCTGACCAGGGATCTAACCTGCAATCTTGACGTATAGGGATGATGCTCTAACCAACTGAGCTACCCAGTCAGGGCTTCAAAATACTTGGAATAGCATTTGTCTCCAGAGTGAGTACCTGAAGAAATATTTTAGAAAACTAATTGCAGTTATTTTATTTAAAACAAAATAGAAGAAAATACGCTTGTTTTGAAGTTTTGTCATTGAACAACAGAGTGAGATGGTATGTGAGCAGTGGAATTCCTTGTAATTGAAACTAGAACCATTGAGAATCAGTCCTGCACAGATTTTATTCTTTTCTTAAACATGCTATCCCTGATCAGAACTTCTGTGGATTTTTGCCAATGAGAATGGAATAAGAGATGAATATTTGCTATATACCTTGAAATAGAATTCCATTGAGTAGGTGAGTGGGGTTTTTTTATTTTTTTATTTCAGATTACTTTGGCCTTGAACAAAGTGGATGGACCTGATGTGGTAAGAAGGCCTTTAAAAATAGCTATCTTCTAAAATTTTGGTTTAGGTGATAACAAAAAAGGAAACATAATTTAAGAAATGTGTTCTATTGCTTTATGGTATAAAATAAATGCTGATTGAAGATATTTTAATAAGTCAATAAATTCTCATTTTAGAGCAGTATAAATTTAGCTGGTAGAGCATACCTTGTTCTTGATGGTATTTGAATTTTGCAAAAACAAAGAAAAAACGAAATCAATGACTGCCCAAATACCTAACATTAAGATCTTTGTTGTCGAGGGGACATTTAGTAGAAAAAGGGAAGATCTCAGCTGTAATGGCTCTTTGCTTTTCTTCTAATGGTGTGTCTCAAATTTACTTAGTGTTGCTTCTTACGATTAAAGTAGCTCTGAATGTTGTTTATTGGGTCTTTTGTCTTTATTTTTCACTAATAACCTTTTAATGCTACTAACTTCAACTTCCTCTGCAATTGTTTTGTGTACCAAAGGCTCTTAAAGATTCTGATCAAGTAGCACAGAGTGATGGGGAGGAGAGCCCTGCTGCTGAAGAGCAGCTCTTGGGAGAGGTACTTATTTTTTTTTCATTTTAATTACATTGGGAAAATAGATGCTATTTGTTTACCACACACTGAAATATGGAAAATTTTCTTAACTATATGTTTCAAAATTAAGATGGAATATATTGTTTTCTTAGAGATGTTTAGGGTAGGAGTCTATTTACTAGTTTTACAGAAGTATCATCTCTAAAATTTTTAGTTCTCTGACCTAGATTCTGGATTATATGGTTTAAAATGAACAGTTGATGTGGGGTTAACTTAGTTTGGTCAGATAGACAATATTATGTCAAACTGAAAAGAGATTTTATTCAGATATCCACTGTTCATTGTATGTGAAGTTAATGTTTTTATCTTGACACTTTAATAATTAGGGCCCACTATTAGTAGCATAGGCTTCTGAATTAGTTTCTTGAATTTTGGAGTTCAAGTAAAGAGTATTTCACTAAATAAACTGATTGCCATGATTACTGTAAACGTTTTCTCAGTTGTATTTGATAATTTTTACAACTAATTTAAAAGAGTCCTTGAACACAATGTTGTACCTTTAATTTTCTGGGGTATTTTTTAACCACTAACAAATAATTCTGTAATTACTTTTCTTGCTTTTTATTATACTTCTTCTTGGAAAATTAAGTTTTTTTTCCATCTCGCCTTTGACTTTTCCATTCTTCTTTGTGATATGGGAATATCTGACTGTGGAATATTTCTTACTGTCTTTTACTAAGTTATGAACACAACTCATCAATAAATTTAGACTATTACAAGATAACTATAAAAAAACATCTTTCTTGGAAGTAGGTCTAGCATTTATTTAAGTTGAGAATAAAGGATATGGGTAAAATCTTACAAAAGATTTTAACTAATTTTGAGAATACCTACACAAAATTGTAGGGTACATTAAAAAATATACTTTCAGCCCTGATGAGTGTAGCCCAGTTGGCTGGGTGTTGTCCTGCAAAGTGAAGGATCGCCAGTTTGATTGCCGATCAGGACACATACCTGGGTTGCAGGTTCTGTCCTTGGGTGGGGCACCTGCAAGAGGCAACAGATTGATTTTTATCTCCCTCTCTTTCTCCCTTCTTTCACCTCTCTCTAAAATTAAAAAAGTAAAATCTTTTTTAAAAATGTACTTGCATTTATATACAACTGAATAAACTATGTATTATCAAATAGAAGATCATTTGGAAATACACTCAAGAATAATATGTATTTTGCCTTGGCTGGTATGACTTAGTGGATTGAGTGTGGGGCTGTGAACCAAAGGGTCACCAGTTCGATTCCCAGTCAGGGCACATGGCTGGGTTGTGGGCCAGGTCCCCAGTAGGGGGTGCACGAGAGGCAACCACATACCAATATTTCTGTCTCTTCCTCCCTTCCCCCCTCTCTAAAATTAAATAAATAAAACCTTTTTTAAAAAAGAATATGTATTTAACAAAAGAGTAGTCATCTGTGTGTACTTTCAGAGTATTTAAAAAAATTTTAAGGAGATAAAATCTTCCTCTTTATCTTAATGATGCTATTTGTTTACCAAACATAGTAGATAACACATTGAAGATACTCAACATGTAATAAATTGTGCATTTGTTGGCCTTATGCATGTTTCAGAAGTTCATATATAAAGGTTTATCGGTTAGAAAGCAGATTTGAAAAATTGTGATTTTTAAAAAAGAAGGCTTTTTTTTATTGTGTTAGTGAATATAGTAATCAAATCAGTATCTGATTTATTTTTTCTCTATATAAAATATTTTTATTTTTTAAATGCTACTTTATTGATTATGCTATTACAGTTGTCCTGAATTTTCCCCCTTTGCCCCCCTCCACCCTGCACTCCCCCTCCCTCACGCAGTCCTCTCATCATTGTTCATGTCCATGAGTCATGCTGTTAAGTTCTTTGGCTACTCCATTTCCTATACTGTACTTTTACATCCCCATGGCTATTCTGTAACTAACTACTTATTTGTACTTCTTAATCCCCTCACCCCTTCACCCATTCCCCCACATTCCCCTCCCATCTGGCAACCATCAAAATGCTCTCTGTATCCATAATTCTGTCTCTGTTCTTGTTTGCTTAGTTTGTTTTTTAGATTCATTTGTTGATAGATATGTATTTTTCATAATTTCATTTTTCATAGTTTTGATCATTTTTTCTTATATAAGTCTCTTTAGCATTTCATATAATAATGGTTTGGTGATGATGAACTCTTTTAGTTTTACCTTGTCTGAGCTTTGCTGGGTAGAGCAATCTTGACTGTAGGTCCCCTCTTTTTATAACTTTGAATATTTGTTGCCAGTCCCTTTTAGCCTGCAAAGTTTCTTTTGAAAAATCAGCTGACAGTATTATAGGAACTCCCTTGTAAGTAACTACCTACTTTTCTTTACAACTTTTTTAAAGATTCTCTTTAACCTTTGACATTTTAATTATGATGTGTCTTGGAGTGGGCCTCTTTGGGTCCATCTTGTTTGGGACTCTATGCTTGCTGGACTTGCATGTCTATTTTCTTCAGCAAATTAGGGAATTTTTTTTTCATTACTTTGTCAAATTAATTATTCTGATTTCTTGCTCTTCCTCTTCTCCTTCTGACACTCCTGTGATGTGAATGTTGGACCTCTTGAAGTTGTCCCAGAGGCTTCTTATACTATTCTCGTTTTTAATTCTTTTTTTCTTGTTGCTCTGATTTATTGTTTTTTTCTTCCTTATGTTCCAAATCATTGATTTGATTCTTGGCTTCATCCATTCTGCTGATTTTTCCCTGTAAATTATTCTTCATTTCAATTAATGTATCATTTGTTTCTGACTCAGTCTTTTTTATACTATTGAGGTCCTCACTAAGTTCATTGAGCATCCTTGTAACCAGTGTTTTGAACTCTGCATCTGATACCCCTTTTGTTTAGTTCTTTTTCTGGAGTTTTGATCTGTTCTTTCATTTGGGCCATGTTTCTTGTTTCCTCATTTTGGCAGCCTCCCTGTGTTTGCTTCTGTGTATTAGGTAAAGCTGTTTTGACTCTGTGTCTTGGTAGTGTGGCCTAATGTAGTAGGTGTCCTGTATTGTCCAGTGGCACAGCCTCCCATATCACCCAAGCTCAGTACTTGGGGTGCACGCTTTGTGTGGGCTGAGTATACCCTCCTCTTATAATTGAGCCTTCTTTGCTGTTGGCAGATCATTGGGAGGGATTTAGCCATACCAGTCAGCTGCAAGGATTTGCCATGACCACTGATCACCAACCTTTGCCTTCTAAGGAGGATCAGCTATACAGGGGCAGGGTGGTGCTCCAACATGGTCCATAGCTGTCCATTGGGTGTGCTGGCCCTGGGGTTTCCCAGGTGGTACAGGCCAAGGTCAACCCCCACCTGTGTTTTACACGGGACCACCCCGTCTGAACTATAAAGTAATCTGCTCCTTGTCCTGGGCTTGGTGAAGCCAAACTGTGAATCTAGGCTGGCTGCTGCCAGTGCGGGGCCTGGGGCCTACTGAGGCCAGCTGTTGTTTATTTGAGAGGATTTATTTTAAGAAGTTGTAAAGCATGAGCCAAAACCAGCCATTCATATGGAAAAGCATCTGGGGTGGGGCAGAATCTCAGGAATCTCCAAGGCAGGTCAGAAAGTGTTATCCAGGTTGATGGAGTCTTAGATATGGCACCAGCTTGCCAGCTCTGTGTGGGGGATAGGAGGGGGCGTTCTTTAAGAGGAACTGTTTGAGATTCCAGCAGTTTCCTCCACAGACTCAATCCCTGCTTATTTTTGCCATCAGAAGTTGTGGGGATTTATCTTCCCGGCACTAGAACTATGGGCTGAAGGGCCATGTCTGGGGCTGGGACTCCTTACTCTCAAGATATCCCTCTTGAATTTTTTTCCATTGCACATGGGTGAGGGGCCAGCCCATTTCTACATCTGTGCTCCATCCTACTAGTCTGTATGGATGTGGTTTCTTTAATTCCATAGTTGTTAGACTTCCATTCAACTCGATTTCTGATGGTTGTTCTATATTTTAGTTGTAATTTTGATGTGGTTGTGTGAGGAGGAGGAGGAGAGCCATGTCTGCCTATGCCACCATCTTAACCAGAAGTCTTGTTTTATTTCTTAATGTGAAGTATTTAAGTTCTGATATTCTTTTGTTTAAGTTTTTAAATTCTAAATGCTCTTTAGTTGGAGAAAGAGTTATAGTTATTCTCTTGTAATAGTCCATATTAACTATAACTAAGCATTATTTACCTATGATGTCATGCTGTGCTCTTCACTAAAATTGCCCAATCCAAAAATGCCCCTGATTTTTAAAACTAGACACTTTTACATTCAGGCATGTAGGTTACAAAAGTACAGAAGATAGGTCTTTTATCTCATATAAGACAGCTATGCTTTTCTTTAAAATTTCTCAGTAATCTTTTATATATTTCTTTTAAAAAATTAAAGGTTTTATTTGTTTAATTTTAGAGAGAAGGGAAGGGGATGGGGAAAGAGAGGGAGAGAAATACCAGTGTGAGAAAGAAACATCAACTGTCTGCCTCTTGTATGTGCCCCAACCAGGGATCAAACCCCCAACCCAGGCATGTGCCCTGACTAGAATTGAGCAGTGACCTCTCACTTGGCAGAGGGATGCCCAACCAAGTGAGCCACACTGGTCAGGGCTGATATATTTTATTTTTTGTCTTTTTTTTATTTTTATGCATAAAAGTGAAGGCATATATGCCTCCATTATACTTCTTTTCTCCTAAAGAAAAAAAAATTGAATTTATATTTACTCAGTCTCAACACGTCATCTCAGAAATTTATATCAGAACTGTATATATTTTTATCAGACTAATCTGTTCTGGGTATGGCTAGTTGAAGAGAACACAAAATCTAGAATTGTAGTATATTCATAAACAATCTGTTTACCTTGCGTTTATGTGATTTTTTTCATATTTTGCATGTTTCAAGTTACTCTTAGTTGAGGTATCTAAGAAAACAATGCTTGTTTAGCTTCAATAACTTCTGAGCTACCAATAATGTGTATGTATACTTCAGTTTGTGTAACGTTACTTCTGACGATCTTGGCTTTTACTTATGATTGTATAACAGGAGTTAATTCTTAGTGAAGTTGTAGATCTTAAGTGTAAACTTGGATCTGAGCACTCTCTAGAATAACTTGGCATGTTATCCAGTCAATAAGTGAATAATCATGTATAAATTTTGTTTTGCCAGTAAATTATTCCACAGTTTCATTCTTCTAAATTGTAGCCCTTTCATTTCTTCAGCATGTCAAAGAGGAAAAACAAGAATTTGAATTTCTACCTTCAGCTGGAGGACCATTTAACATCTCCATCAATGGAGGTAAAAACCTGTTGGTTTTTAACTTCGTTTTTTTTTTAATCATTTCAAAGCATATAGTTCTTAAGTTTAAGTTAGAAATATTTTGCTACAAGTGTTAGAAGGTTAAAAAGAAGAACTCAGTTATCATTTAGTATGTGTAATTAGTGTCTTAGAAATGGTGGGATATTCTGGCACCTATGTAATAGAAACCGTGTGATATTTATTACTCCAGTTTAAGCAATCTATAAAGTGTGGTATCTTACCTGATTTTACTTACATGCTATCAGTGTATTGCCACAGATCTCAACAGTTTCTGTTAAAAATTAATCACCAGTAATAATCAGAAATTAGAATTTTTTTCTTCTTTGGGTGTGCATATAAAAGTTGATATGTGTAATATTTTTTCTTATAACAAAAAACTTTAACTTGGGTGTATTATATCTTTATTGCAGATATTGATGGTTTAATTACTCAGGCTTTGTTGACGGGTAACTTTGAGAGCGCTGTTGACCTTTGTTTACATGATAACCGCATGGCCGATGCTATAATATTGGCCATAGCAGGTGGACAAGAACTATTGGCTCGAACCCAGAAGAAATACTTTGCAAAATCACAAAGCAAAGTTACCAGGGTATGTTATTTTAAAAATAGGTAAACAAACAATAACTTTTATCTGATTATAAAAGCAATACACTTTTATTATAGATGATTGAAATGCAGAAAACAGTAAACAATAAAAAAACCCATCCATAATTTCTTGACCCAGAAATAGTTAATGTTCATAGTTGGGCATGATTATTTCAATTTTTGTTCTTTTATAATTTTTTTAACTTATTGATTTTAGAAAGAGCTATAGAGAGGAAGGAAGAGAGAGAGAAACATCGATTTGTTGTTCCACTTATTTATATATTCATTGGTTGACTCTTATATGTGTTTGGGGATTGAACTGCCGCAACCTTGGCGTATTGGGACAACGCTCGGACCAACGGAGCTATTTAGCCAGGCAATTTTTGTTCTTTACATATAAAATGAGTAATACTTTTCATGGTTTTTTATTGTGGAAAAGATAGAATATAGAAATTTTTTTTATCCTCACCCGAGGACAATTTTTCGTTGCTTTTAGAAAGAGGAAGGGGGAAAGAGAGAGAAACATCAATGTGAGAAACATTGATTGAGGAGCCTCTCGTAGGCTCCCCATCCGGGGATCAAACCTGCAACCTAGTATGTGCCCTGACCAGGAATCAAACTCATAACCTTTTAGTGTATGGGACGATCCTCCAACCAAATGAGCCACACTGTCCAGGGCTAGAAAACTTTAAAGATAAATATTTAACACCCTCTAATTCTTCTATCAGATTGGTATTTCTCAATCTCAAATTGGGTCCAACTTTCCATACCTCTTCCTATGTGTTTGTAGAATTTTTTAAAACAGAATCAGGATCGTATATGTATATATGTGTGTGGTTTTACTTACAAATATTGTCACATTTTCCTATATTATTAAAGATTCTTACAAAAATTATAATTGGTCTATGAAATTCTACAGCAAGGATGTATTTTTTCTCTTGCTTGGGGGTGTTTAGGTAGTTTCTGATATTTTCCTAACACTGATAAGTTAGTGTTAAACATCCTTGTTATACCTAAAGATCTGTGAGAATTTCTAATTATTTAATGAGGTTACAATCCTAGGAAAGGAATTTCTGGAGCAAAGGGTCTAAACATTTTAAAGTCCCTGCTTGATGTTATTATTTTCTTCTAATAAAAGTTGCCCCAGATTTCAGTCCTTTTAGCATTGGTTGCCATCAGTCTCCTTAGCCTTGTCTCTTGTCACTTTCTCCCCTGTTATTTTTTAGCCACTCTGGCCACCTTTCAGTTCCTAACGCATTCCATGTGCCTTTCTCTATTGGGACTTTGCACCTAGAGTTCCCTTGGCCTAGAATATTTTCTTCCCTCCTTGATGAAATTAATTCTTACTTCGTATCACATGTCTGTATGCTTAGAAAGTTGTTCTTGATCCATCAGATCAGGTTATGACTTTCTGTTAAATGTTTTGATAACACTCTATACTTTTTCTTCTCGGAATTCTATAAAGTGTGTTGTTGTGATATTTTTTAAAGGAAAAAATAATACCATACTCTATGTTAGTTGGTTCAAGGATATATTTCACTTTGCTGCTGTTTATTCTATGTGAAATACTATGAATAATAACAATTTTTGAAAGATATGATTGATTAACCAGAGTTAGTTATTATTAATATACCAACAGCTTTTAATATTCCCTTTTTTCCCTTTCCCAAGCTAATTACTGCAGTGGTGATGAAGAACTGGAAAGAGATTGTTGAGTCTTGTGACCTTAAAAATTGGAGAGAGGCTTTAGCTGCAGTATTGACTTATGCTAAACCTGATGAGTTTTCAGCCCTCTGTGGTAAGAAAATGAGCTTTATATTATGTATGTGGCATAGTATATTATAAATAAAATTGACAAATATTAGAAATTTTCAATCTCATCAAGATGGAGACATAGGTAAACGCTCCTTGTTTCCACACACAACCACAACAAAAAGTACAAATAGACTACAAAACAGATATTGCCCAGAATTGTCAGAAAATCTAGCTGTATGGCAGTCTGACAACCAAGGATTTAAAGAAGCCACATTCATCCAGATGGGTAGGAGGGGTGGAGATGCAGAGAGACACAGAGAGGTGCCAAGAGATGCAGAGAAGTGCATAGAGACATGGAGAGATGTGGGGTGGCACAGAGAGGTGTGGAGATGCAGAACAGTTGGTCACACATCCATATGTGGAGGATGAAAATCAGGAGGGATACCTTGGGATCAAGGGGTCCCAGCCCCAGACAGGACAATGCAGCCCAGGGTTCCAGCACCAGAAGGATAAGTCCCCATAACTTCTGGCTGTAAAAACCAGTGCGGGTGGGAGCTGCAGAAGAAACTGCAGAATTCTCAGGAGACTCTTAAAGGGACTGCAACTGACTTAGGACTTATGCAGACTCACCCCCTCTGGGATTTAGCATCAGGGCAACAGCTGGAGGGTACTAGTGGCATATGGGAAGAAATTGAAGTGACTGGCAACGAGGCAAGTGCTGGGAGACAGCTTCCTCCTAGGCAAAACTCTGAAGGCCAGGCAGCGGCATTATCTCCTCTCCAAGCTCTTCCCCACACAGAGCCACAGAGTGGTGACACGGGTTACCCCTACCCTGGTGACTACCCATACAACTTACAAGTGTGCTTTTCTACAGTAGGCTACACTACTAAGATGGGGAGTCAAGCCTCTGTGTCTAATACACAGAAACAAAGGGAGGCTGCCAAAATAAGACAAACATGGCCTGAATGAAAGTAGAGAATAAAACTCCAGAAAAAAACCTAAATGAAATGGAGATAGGCAAACTATCAGGTGTAGAGTTCAAAACATGGGTTGTTGGGATGCTCAAGGAACTCATTGGGTACTTCAACAGCATAAAAAAGACCCAAGCAGAAGTAAAAGTTACATCAAGTGAAATTTAAAAAAATCTACAGGGAACCAACAGTGGAGGGGGTAAAGCTGAGAATATAAGATAGAAAGAAATTATTTAATCAGAACAGCAGGAAGAAAAAAATTTTTAAAAATGAGGATAGGCTAAGGAGCCTTGGGATATTTCTAAACATACAAACATCAGAATCATAGGGTGCCAAAAGGAGACAAGGAAGAAAAAGAAATTGAAAACTTATTTGAGAAAATAATAAAAGAAAGCTTGCCTAATTTGGTGAAAGAAATAGACATGCAAGTCCACAAAGCATGAAGAGTCCCAAACAAGTTGGATCCAAAGAGGACCACACCAAAACACATAATTAAAATATCAAAGGTTAAAGATAAAGAGAGAATCTTAAAAGCAGCAAGAGAAAAACAGTTATTTACAAAGGAGTTCCCATAAGCCAATCTGCTGATTGTTTAAAAGAATCTTTACGGGCTAGAAGGGGCTGGAAAGAAGTATTCAAAGTGATGAAAACAAGGACCTACAACCTATTCTGCAACAAATTATTCTGTCCAGCAAAGCTATCATTTAGAATGGAGGGGCAGATAAAGTGCTTCCCAAACAAGGTAAAACTAAAGGAGTTCATCACCAATCCACTGTATGAAATGCTAAAGGGAATTATACAATAAAAAAGATCAAAACTATGAACGTTAGAATGGCAATAAATTCACAACTATGAACAATTGAATCTAATAAACAAACTAAGCAAACAGGCAGTACAGGAACAGAATCATAGGAATGGACATCATTTGGAGGGTTATCAGTTTGGAGGGGAAGAGGGTGACTAGAGGATAAGGTCCAGGGATTAAGAAGTACAAATTGGTGCATACAAAATAGGGGGATGTTAAGAACAGTATAGTTAATGGAGTAGCCAAAGAACTTATATGCACAACTAACTCATGGACATGAACCTAGGGAAGGTTATTGTTCAAGTGGAGGGGGGTACTGGATAAAGGGCAACAAAGGGGAAAAATTGCGACAACTGTAATAGCATAATCAATAGAATATATTTTTAAGTTATAGAAATCCCTATATCACAAATGTGTGTTTAGTTTAGCCTTTTTGAAACTATATTATGCATGCCCTGATTTTTAAAGAAATAAAATATCTTATGTCGGGGGAAAAATACATTTTCATAAACCTACCAATCACAAATAAGAAAAAGGGTTCTCATTTGAATGCTTTTTTCAGAATTATTTTCTATATTACTTCTCCATATCTAATCATTTTTAATAATACTGTTTAATGATTTTGATTTCAGACAGACCAGACTTAGAATCTTGTCTCTGCCACTTACTAGCTGTACAACCTAGTCAAAAATGCTTTCTAAGCCTTGATCTGTTCTTATGTAAAATGATACAAAATCACCTCTCACTTAATAAATGTTAGCTTGATAAAATTAATAATTATAGCCTGTCTTGTGTGGCTCAGTGTGTTTCACATCGTCTGCCAAACTAAAAGATCATTGGTTCAATTCCAAGTCAGAGGACATGCCTGGGTTGTGAACCAGCTCCCCAGTTGGGGGCATGTGAGAGGCAACTGATGGATGTATCTCTCACAGATCGATGTTTCTCTCCCTCTGTTTCTCCCTTCCTTCTCCTCACTCTAAAAATAAATAAAATCTTTTTAAAAATTAATAATTATAACATTTGAGTAGAAATTACCTTTGAGAGTCTAATATTTCTTAGACTGAATATTTCTAAACTGGTGACTAAGGAATAATATTTATCTGTAAGAATGGAAACTTTAGGCTGCTTAGTGTGGAAGGAACAGCAGTTTGTCAACTTGAAAGTATTATAAGAATATGAAAATTAAAAGATAACAACTTTATTATTATAAATAATTTATAGTAATCTTAGCTGTCATTGATGTTTATTCCAATTGTGCCATATTTTAAACTAGTGCTTACAAAAATATCTGATGTGATAACTTGGAGTTAAATGCTTATTAGGATTTTTCTGTACAAATATTGTTTCCATTTATTTTTTCCCTAATATAATTAATGTAAATCCATTCTATAGCTAGGTATAGAATCTTGTCACTTAGAGTCTTGTCTATTATATACGATTTGTCATGCACTTTTATTTCACTTGACAAATATTTACTGAAACTTTACATGGCACAATGATTTTCTACCTGCTACTCACTGGTTGTGAAGTTTATACTTTTGAAAATGTTATTGGGCTGCTCACAATTTCACATACAGAGTGTCTTAGATATAATCTTATTTTGCTTCTCTTTTGATTTGTAGATCTTTTGGGAACCAGGCTTGAAAGTGAAGGTGATAGCCCCCTGCAGACTCAGGCATGTCTCTGCTATATTTGTGCAGGCAATGTAGAGAAATTAGTTGCATGTTGGACTAAAGCTCAAGATGGAACCAGCCCTTTGTCACTTCAGGTTAGTATCTTTGAAACCTTTTTAGTTGTCTTTCACCCTATTTATAGAAGTAATTTGTTCTAGTTCATTGCTTTTACCCTTAGTTATTTACATTTTAGAAGTTCTTGTACTAGATAATTATGCATATTTATTGCTGTATTTGGAGGGAGAGAGTTTGAGATGATATTATAGTTAAAAGGGGTTGCAGTGGTTTATGAGGTCAGGGTTGTGATTTGGTACTTAATTGGGGAAAGTAGATGCCAAGAGCATGAAAACAGCCTTTACTTTACCTCTTTTTCTTCCTGCTCCTCTCTCTGCCTCCAGTGATCCTGTCTGTTTTGGGCAAAGAAAGAATCAATGTAGGGTAACTAATGAGAGGCATCCCCAGTACCGATAGAGAATCTTCATGGTTAAGGAGAAATGAAAGTAAGAAATGAGTGTATTCCCATGTAACACTAATACATGGACAAGCGAGGAAGTAAAAAATTATTCTCAGGCACTGAGTAATTATATATTTAAATTTTTTCCCTAAGCATTTAATCAGCAGTGTCTCATTTCAGTCTAGTATTTCTTTTTTTTTCTGGAAAGAGGTTTACAGGAAATTTGTTGCTTTAAATATTACTCTGTTGAAACTGAAAATCTGGTAGGAAATCCAGGTTTCCTTCTATGTGCTTCTGAGAGAAAACACTTGTTTCACACTTTTGGATTTGTGTACCTCTAAAGGGCAATAGGTAGGATATTGTTGTGCTTTATACATGAAGCATAACTCCCCATTGTTGAAAGAATTGGTATTGAGGAGCAATATGAGAAACTTTGGGTTGAAATAGTAATCCCATTTGTAGGTCACCTCATAGTAGTACTATTTTTATAATATAGATAGTATGATGTTTTCATTCATAGTTTCTCCTGTTCCTGCTAGAACCCAATTTTCTGCCTTCGGACACTTTGGATATGCCTCTTTTAACTTACAAATATCTGGCAGTCTAAGGATGTTTAGGAGAAGGTGGTAACCTATGCCCTATTCATAACATGAGTAAGAGACCTTCCTCCTTACTTTTTCCGTTACTTAAATGGTGGTAAACTATTCCAGACCTTTCTAAGAGAGGTGATAATAGGTACTATACTTTTTTGGAAATCGTAGTAATTATCTTTTCCTGTTTCCTCTCATACAGATCTTGGTATCCTTCTCTTTTACTCTCCTTTCTTTTTCTCACTTAGGATCTGATTGAGAAAGTTGTCATCCTACGAAAAGCTGTACAACTCACCCAAGCCATGGACACTAACACTGTAGGAGTTCTTCTGGCTGAGAAGATGAGTCAGTATGCCAGTTTGTTGGCAGCCCAGGGCAGTATTGCTGCAGCCTTGGCTTTTCTTCCTGAAAGCACCAACCAGGTAATTATAAGTGGTCATTTTTCTTATTTTAATATATGAGTAAGGTGAGCCCAGTAGATAGCACTCAGTATTAAACATAAACATGCTAGTAGGTGGAATGTTTCGGAGTGGTTGAATGTCTATCACCTGACTATAGGTGAATGTTGTCGGACAATTCTTCAAGGATCATTATAGGAGTGCCCTTAAAGCTGTGTCAAACAGATAGTATGCTCTCGTAGTATGATACAGCTCTTTGTACAGAGGGTCATAGTATTTGAGGAAATAAATGGGAAAAGGACTAACTTTGTTTCTTAAGCCAGATGCTACTTCTGTGTACAAGGGGCCTTTGTAAGAATCTTCTGTGTTGAAAAGCTGTAAGCGTTCATGCTTAATCAGACTAGTGGGTTGTAATGTCAGAATTCCCACAAGTTCCATCCCAGATACTAGCGAAGAAGTTCGTTCTGTATGCCATCAGTCTGATACCTTCTATGGGCAAGTTTATTTTTAAAGTATTTAAGGCAGAGAGAACTACACTACATTCCTAATTTAGTTTCCTTATTTGGTGTGCAATAAAACTCGGGGTTTTTCATGGTATTGGTTTTAATTCAATTCAATGAGTAACTGACTATACAGTGATGGAAAAGAATGCCAAGATCCTGTCCCTGAGGGAATTTCCAAACTCAAAATGATGGTAGACAAACAAACATAGGATTCCACAAGTGCAGGGTGCTGTGGTAGAGGTAGTAGTGCTGTGGGAGCACAGAAGATAGAAACCTAAAACCCATCATGGGGCATGGGTGGAGTCAAGATGGGATCTGAGGGAAGTTTTCCACAAGTGGGGTATTTATATTTATACTGTGTGTCTGACAGAACTTAATTTTGAACCTTCTAAGTATTTTATTTCTTTATTTTTTATTGTGAACTTTATTCTGTTCTTATGGGGGGGTTTTATTTTTTTTATTTTAAGACTAACTCAATCTAAGATCTTTAGATCTTCTAGCCTTAGAATTAAACTCTTTTCATTACCATTTATAACTACATACATTGTCTACACATTATTCTTTATTATTTTCTTTGGACTTTTAAATATTCTTTATGCAATGTCATAATATTTTTAAAATATTTTATTTATTTATTTTTAGAGAGGGGGAAGGGAAGGAAAAAGGAAAAAAAATCAGTGTGTGAGAGAAACATCAATCAGTTGCCTATTGCACCCCAACTAGGGATTGGCCTGCAACCTAGACATGTGCACTGACTGGGAGTCTAACTAGTGACCCGTGGCCCTGCAGGAGGACACTCAACCGACTGAGCCACACTGGTCAGGGTGCAAATATCATCATTTTGATGTTACTTCACCTATGTATCTCAGTAGATGCTTAGATTTTTTTATGAGACTCTGATATCATTATAGTATACAATTATCCTCCTAAAAGACAATAAAGAATACCTGAAATGTTTAAATGACATGAACTTATAGAAATATATAATTTTTGAAGGTAATAAAATGAATTTTTGCTGAAACATTTCAACATTGCTTTCTTGTTGTTAATATATGACATGTATGTAGTCAACTCATGCTGTATATCAATATAGCTGTAATCTGTATAAGCTTGAGCTTGACATCTCTTTTATTTCAAATGCCTTTTTAGATTAATTTTTGCTTTCTCAGATCATTATTTTCTTTCATCACCATCTTTAGCAGTTGATTCTCTTTGGGAGCCTTTTTTCCCTACAAAGAAGCAAAGTTATATTTTAAAACTACTTTTGTGATTTGTGAACATTACTTAACTACAAGAAAATAACAAAAGAGCAGCGATGAGAAGTGACCTTGATCTTGCATGCCACCATGTAGTAGGCATAATTCAAATCACTGCCTCAGTTAAATTGCAAGTTACACTGTATATTATGGACCTTTCGTGTCAGTCTTGAGTGTTAGAAACCATGATGTCAGAACCTGGTGTGCCAAGGTTTGTTGTAGAATACACAGCACATAAACAAATATATGAATGATCAAGCTTACTATAAGAAAATCAACATGCTGTCATATATTTGGATGAACTCTTAATAATTTGTGTTTTCTTCCATTGCTTCTTATAGCCAAATATTGTGCAGCTTCGTGACAGACTTTGTAGAGCACAAGGAGAGCCTGTACCAGGACAGGAATCACCCAAAGTACCTTATGAGAGGCAGCAGCTGCCCAAGGACAGGCCTGGACCAATTGCTGGCCACACGCAGATGCCAAGAGTTGCACCTCAACAATACTATCCCCATGTGAGTGATACGGTCCAGATTAAGTAGGAACGTTTCATGTGTTTCTGTTCAAATGAGTGGTTTTAGTTTGTTGGGTAACAGACCTTATCCACTGTGATAAAACTAGACAACATATTGTTTTGGTAGGTATACTTTTTGTATTCTTCAAAGTGGTATTTATGTTTTTAAAAATTATCCCTTTAGTCTAATAGATTATATTTTAGACACAAATTAAGCTCTCCAGATAGATTTCTTATTTCTCCATAACTCAAACTTTTATAATGCATGTACATCTGTTCTTGAAACTTCTACAATTTGATTCATCTAACAAAGTTTAAGTAAAGTGGTGGCAACAATTGTATAGTTAATTTTATAAAATATTTTTAGAAAATAGTCTTTTTTTTTTTAGTATTCTTTTCTGAATCATTAGTGTAGGTTTATTATGTCATCTGTATCAGCACGATGAAGAGTATTGAGAATATACACTTTTTGGAGAAAACTGAATGACCAAAAGTTTATGAAGTTATAGGTCATGGGGAATTTGAAGATGATTGAATATTTTTTATTTATTTATTAAATTAAACTTACCATGTTTAGTGGCAAAAAAGTGGCCTATGTTGTCTTTTACTGTTTCGTGTAGAGATGTATTTCTAGACCATCAGATAACATTTATGTTCTTAAAGGAAAGGTATATTTTTATAAATAATAAATGGTCTTGATTGAAAACAAAGCTAACAGATACTGTGCCCATTTTAAAATAGAATAAATTGCTGATAGAATTGACAGGGTCTTTCTTACATTTGATTGAGGCAATGTAAATATAAAATCATGAAAACTAAAAAAAAAATCAAATCACGCTTTTTGGTCTTTTGTACTTTTGCTTAGTACCTAATCAGGATAGATTACATTTGAATATAACTATCTACAGTACTCTGTGTTTTAACAGTTTTCCCATTCATTTGACAAATATTTATTGAGACCCTTACTGTGACTGCCCATCTTTATTTTACATGTTAGGGGTATGTTGGTAAACAAAACAGATTGAATTTCCCACTCTCGTGGAAATTAAACTGCACTTGGAAAGTCTGTAACATAGGTAGGGCAAATCAGGTCATGGCTGGGAACACTTGAGAGGTGGAGAGGTCAATCAACCAACCAGAGTTTTAAGACATAGCATTTGAATTTTTCAGCATTGTGTGGCTAATTAATTGGCAGTCTGGGGCTAGAACTCTGAAGCACCGTGAGTTGGACTATGCTCTTTCTTGGGATACTGACATAGTAAGGCATTCTCTGCATTGAGAGAAGACAGCATTTGCCCTTTATGTCTTTGGGTTTATCTCTCTTTCTGGGAAAACATAAAACATCAAAAGACTTGTTTTACTTTGGCTTACCAGTGTCATGCTTTAAAAAAAGAAAGACAGATTCAACCATAAATTAAGCAATGATTTTCTTTATTAAAGCTTATGCTATGCTGAATGAGGACAGTGGCTTGTAGTTTTAAAGGAAGGTTACAGGCAGGAGTAAAGGAATGAAAGAGAGACCAGATTTGTAGGAGTTCTACTTCAACCAGTACATCTTGCTATTTATGTATTGGAGTTTCTATGAAGATTTACTTGACAAAAAGATTTTGATGGTTTAAAACAATTTAAAACCTCTGGACTCCAGGGTAAGCAACACAGTGTAGCAGACACTGTGTTGGGAGTCAGGAGACTGGGAATGAGTCCTAGCTTCCTTCACCAGTGAGTTGTATGGACCTCAGCAAACCACTTTATATGTCAGGGCCTTGGTTTTCTCATTGGTGTAGGGTGGGGATTAGACTGGATATTCTTTGATGTTCTCTGTATGATTCTAAGCCTCATATGGGACTAATTTTTTTTCATGGCTCTAATGAAATTTAGAAAAGAAAACTTATAGCAATATGTTTACAGAACTATTAGTAGCATGAATACTATTAATGCTTCAGAATAACTTTTTAATCAGTTGCCTTTTTTCCTCAGAATGTCTTCTTTCCTTCCCTACTTACAGGACCTAGCCTTTCCTCTTATTCTTGACATTTGAATGGTATTGTTCTTTGTGCTTTGATTTAGGTTTTTATATTGATTTTTTCTACTGCCTCCCTCCCCTTATTTTATTGTGAATGTGTGCTTTTCTTTTGGAATCCCAGCTACCTTAAAAGCAGTTGCCTGACTAATATGCCATCTTGCTGCCCTTTAACATTTTGCTTTGCATATGGCTGTTAATACCTTTCGGGGTTTTTTTTTCTTCTTTTAACATTTTCATTTTTTATTTTCTGTGATTGATGTTTCTTTGTTCAATTCAGGTTAGAATTGCCCCTACTGTCACTACCTGGAGTAACAAAACTCCTACCGCCCTTCCCAGCCATCCACCTGCAGCCTCTCCCTCTGACACACAGGTATATCCTTCATTATTCCTCTTTGAGCAGAATTCCGCTCACCTAAATATATATAGTTATATATTTTCTATCCCCTTTTCTCAGGTTCCCCTTCACTATCTCTCTGTCTGCTTATTGCATTTGAATGCTTTTAGGATGCAAGAAGCCATTAGCACAATTAATTTATTTTTCTTATCCGTTTCTCCTCCTTTGCAGTTCTAAATTGACTTGAGCGAGAAAAACATCAACCAAGGTTCTAACAATGGTGTAAATCTGCTTTCACTGAAGATTTTCTTTTTTTCCTTTCTTTCTACTTTTTTTATTTTTATTTTTATTTTTGAGCATTGCAGAAATTGAAGAGAAGCAACCTTCCCTTGTGGCATTTATACTTATATTTTCAAAGTGTGGAATTGTGGATGGAATTTAGTAGAGATGAGAAATCCTGGTGACTTATAAATATCATTGACACTTTTATGAGGCTTTTAAAATCTGTGGTTATTCATTGCAATTATTACTTTGAACCTGTCTGATTTTTAAATCACTCAGAATGTGTTGTTCAGAAAATGTGCTCTGAAGAAAAAAGAATGTGCAAAATGCAATGTTTCTTTGTATTATACAATAAAGTATTTTTCAATAGAATTCCATTTTGGAGATTATAAATCCATCATATAAGATTCTTGGTGAATTTTCCTTTTACTATATTCTCATTTCCTAGGGAGAAAATCCTCCACCTCCAGGTTTCTTGATGCATGGAAATGTTAACCCACATGTTGCCGCAGCTCAGCTCCCCACATCACCCAGTCACGTGCACACCCAGGTACCACCTTATCCACAGCCACAGCGTAAGTAGTGTGTCCCTTAAGTCCTTTTATAGCAGCATGTCTTGTCCAGTGTGGTAACTATTTATTTTGAGGCTTCAAAGCCATGATCTAATTAATTTAACAAGAAAGAACCAATGTACATAGGGCCCAAGTCCTTGCTATGGAGAAACATGGTTTCAATAGGAAGCATCCTGAATCACTACACTAACAAATAGTTCTGTCAGTCCATTCAGACCACTTGGCTCCTATTCCTGAGTCTTTACTAAGACATATTAAAGAGAGTCAATTAGCCCATGATTTGGTCTAAAAAAAAATAGAATTTAAAAAATTACTTGGTACATTCTGTTTTCCCTCAGGTGAGATGACATAAATCATTTTTGGAAAAATGGTTCCAAGGGACATTTGTTGTTGTTTTCCACTTACTTTATTTTTTAAGAAATAGGTTTTACTTTTTTTAGAGCAGTTTTATGTTTATAGCAAAACCAAATGGAAAGTACCGAAAGTTACAATATACCACCAGCCCCTCTATGCCAACCTCCCACACTGTTGACATCCTGCACCTCAGTGGTACATCTGTCCCAGTCATTGAGCCTACATCGACACATCATTATCATCCACAGTCCGTGCTTTAGGGTTCACTCTTGGTGTTGTACCTTCTGTGAATTTTGGCAGATGTATAATAATGACACATATACACCAGTGGCTTTTTTTTTCCTCCAGAAAATATTTGCTCTTGGAGAGTAAAATATCACCACTGTTTTAGTTTTAAAATTTAAATGAAGAACAAAACATAGAAATCTCAAAGGGGAATATTATATGAGTAAACAAGTATTATAAAAATAAGAGGTTATCACCTACTAAGAACTAATCTTAATGAGCATGTTCTATGCTAAAATGAATGTTTATACTTAACATGAATACAAATATACAACTTTTCATTCAAGTGCTCAGTGTGAAAGTGCTGTCTTCAGAGTTAGAACTAAGTGCGGTTCTACTGGATTCACTCTGTAGAGGTTCCTATCTACCCCTGGTCATACAGAATGTAACAGTATTAAGATCTCTAGTCTGAGTTCAGTTCACTGCATTAAAATATTAGTTGGCTGCCTGATTACTTACTAACCAACTATATAATATGAAACATAGTAATTGTTTTGTCAGGGATCATAGAGAGTTGATCATTAATTTGGAACTGTACTCAAACTCAGAACTTGAGTAGCTAATGATTTTGCTAAATGTTGGAGAAGACATTTGATAAATTATAGTAGTGCTTATGCTACAATTCTTACGGTGGGGGAGATCTTATGCTGCCACTAAACTCCCTTTAACTAAAGGATATACAATTTCTCTTTGAATGTATAATTCCTCCATGGTTCCATCTGGTGGCTAGCAGATGTCACTGCAGTCTTTTCTCAGAAACAGGAAGTCTCAGAGCCTCTTTTAAAATTGATTTTACTTTTTAAATTTATCTCTCAATTACAGTTGATACACAATATTATGTTAGTTTCAGGTATACAACATAGTGATTAGACATTTATATACCTTATGAAATGATTCCTCTGGAAATTCTAGTATAGAAAAGAGTCAGTCTTACAGTTCTTGGATCTGGTGTTTCAAAGATTTTCATAGCCCATAGCAATGTGGAGATGGCAGGTTTCAAATATGGAATTCAATGACTTTTAGTGTATTTAGGGCATCTGAGCATTGAAAAGCATAACATATAAGTGTTTATGTTTGTTTATAATTTACTGTTAAAAGAATGATAAAAACAATTTCCATAGAATGAGATAAGTGATTTTCTGTTGCTGTCCGAATAAACTTGTAATTAATGAAAATTTCTATTTCTTCTCCTTGGTGTAGCTTATCAACCAGCCCAGCCATATTCCTTCGGAACGGGGGGGCCAGCAACATATCAACCTCAGCAGCCTGTTGCTCCTTCTGCTTCAAACACTTACCCTAACACCTCTTACATATCTTCTACTCCTTCCTATTCTGGGCAGTCTCAGCTGTATGCAGCACAGCACCAGGTCTCTCCACCTACCTCCAGCCCTTCTGCTTCTTTCCCCCCTCCCCCTTCCTCTGGAGCATCCTTCCAGCATGGCGGACCAGGAGCTCCACCATCTTCAGCTTACGCACTGCCTCCTGGAACAACAGGTACACTGCCTGCTGCCAGTGAGCTGCCTGCGTCCCAAAGAACAGGTCTGAGCTTGAAAAGGATTCGGTTTGGCTCCCTCCTTTATTTTTCATGAATACCTGGGTGGAAAGAGGGGAATTATTTCTGTTCATATATTGGATAATGTGAGGTGTTCATTAAGTTTTTATAACAAATTCTCAAACTTTCTAAAGGGGTGATTTTCTTATAATGAATTTAGTTACTAAATGAGGAAAGCTTTAGAGCTTCAAAAGGGTAAGAGTGTGCAATCCACATTGAATTTCAGGTAAGGGGTGAGAAATTAATTGGCAAGATCAGTGGTGGTTGGACCCAGATCTGATTGACACTAATATCTTTACCAGAGTAAAACTAATGCTCTGTGTTCTCACTGTGAAGTTTACACTTTTAAAAAGTACTTGTGTCTTAAAATCATTCATGGAGGCTAAACAGTACGGAGTCTTAGTGAGATTGCACAAATTTTATAAGTATATTTATTTGGAAAGTGAGGAGATATGCTTATCTAAAGGAAAAAAGTGAGAGAACAAAAGTGACAGAATTGCTAATACAGCAGAAAGTCATTGTACACTATTGTTCTAGTTCTCCAGTAGGGCAATGCCAAGCATCCTCTGAAACATTTTGGAAATTTCTAGGTGTGTTATTTTTTTTGGGCGGGGGGGGGGAGTCTAGTAGTATAGTTGTGCATGAAATTTGTAATTAAAAATTATAATTTTAAGTTGTTTTATGGTGAAATACACATTTTATTAATTTTATTCTCATGTTACAATTATAGCATTATGTTAATTTGGGGGGTAAGTTACATTATCTGATTTTTATTTTTGGATAGTAAAAAAGGTCTTAAAAGCATGTGCCATAAAAAGGCATCAGTGAGTCAGGGTTAAGAACTACTAACAACAGTGGATAAAATGTAGACTTTGAAATTAAACTTCCTGGGTTTGTATCCCAGCTTCACTACTTTCTATGTGTATGACCTTGAGTAAGTTACCTAACTTCTTTAAGCATCAGTTTCCTCAAAATAATAATGTTCCCACTTACAAGCTTATAAAGGGGATTAATGTATTAAGTATATAAAAACTACTGAGGGACAGTGACTACAAAATTAGTTGTGATTACACAAAACCTTACATAAAAATTAGAGTTCTGTGCATTTTGATATTTGAAAATAATTTCTCTTTCAGATTATAATTGATGGTTTTAAACTAGAGGGGCAAAAAGATACATGAGTGCTGGCTTTGCTCCTAATACTGAAGTTGCTCCTGGGGAGTCCAGTATTATTTTTTCCTTTTATGTGCTGATCAGTAGCTTTATTTACTGAAAACATTTATCAAAAAAGAGAGTCTATTAAGGAAATTTTTTTTCTAATAAAGCCTTATGGATCCAGAACTACACACATATCTCCTCCTCTCTTCTTTGATATATATTAAAATCCAAAGTACCAAAAATCACATACACATTCACACACAATATGTATCATCTTTTACAGCACAAATAGGATTTCTAGAATATTCAATACAGATATTTTATCAAGCAGTGCTAATTCAGGTGTAGAGTTTTTAAAATTACATTTTAAAGCCTGGCTGGTGTGGCTCAGTGGATTGAGTACCAGCCCGCAAACCAGGGGGTCACTGGTTCGATTCCCAGTCAGGGCACATGCCTGAGTTGCTGGCCAGGTCTACCCCCTGCACCCTGGAGAGGTGTACAGTGAGAGACAACCACACATTGATGTTTCTCTCCCTGTCTTTCTCCCATCCTTCCCCTCTGTCTAAAATATAAAATCTTTAAAAAAAATTACCTTTTAAAATCTGGGTGAGTGAAACTGTATGAACAGTGTTTCAGTGAATAGTTGGATACTAGACTTTGTGAATGAAAGATGGATTCGAGTAAACCCCTACTTAAAAGATGGTGCAGGGAAGTCAATGATCATTTATTGAACATTCATTGGACATATACCAGCACTTGACAAGTATTTTGTTATTTAGTTCCCACAGCCATGAGAAATGGGAAAAATTATTTTTTAAAAAATTGACATGAGGAAAGTTGAGTTTTCTAGGAATTGTATTATGTTCTTCTGGGTACACTGTGGAAATCTCCAAGTTGAGATACAAACCTAGGTCTCTCAGTCTTCAAAGCCCTATCCATTCTTATTTATCACAGAGTATAGTCCTAATGTGATAGAATAGCTATCAGTGTTAGAATTAGAAAAATCATTTAGCAACAGTTTTAGGTATTTGTTACTGCATTATCTAAGTTAAACATTTGTATGGGTATGTCTTTCTTCTTCAGCAAAAGTGCATTTGGCTGTGAGATAAAATGTTTGCTTATATACAGAGTAACAGAATGTTCTAACCTGGCTGAGAAACAGAGTGACTATTAAGAAGCCAAACAAACTTTTTCAGTAATCAGCATGCACTAAGCTAGCTGCTTTGTTGCCTTTTGCATGTTAATAGTCCCATATATTTTAATTAACAGTTACAGCTTTATCATAATTTATTTTTGTCTTCCTAAAATTTTTGCTTAGGTTATATAAAGGATTGTGACTGAAAATTTTATCTTTGTTCTGATGAGTCTTAGATCATATCATGGTTCTCTATAGGATTTAAGAATTCTGCTTGTCCAACGGATGATTCTTGACAGAAACTTAGGTTTTTCAGTCAAGCCCTCTCAGTGTTAGTGAATCGCGAAGTAATGTGCCCATACTCAGAAACTAATGTTGCAATCATAACATTCATTCAGTAAATTATTTTTTGTTTTTTCAATTAGTAAATCCTTAATGAGGGTCTATTTGGTCTGTAATCACAATTATTCCAGACAGATATGGAGGCGGAAAAAGACAGTGCAATTCCAATGAACAGCCCATAGCTTTGTTATAAGTTGGAATATAAAATTTGTACTTGGGCCAAATTTTGGAAAGCCTTAAATGCCTGAGCAAGAATTTTCTACTTCATATGGTAAAAAGAAAAGTTCTTATGAAGGACCTGGAGTTCTCTTATGAAGAAAAGTTCTTATGAAGGACCTGGTCATAGGCATGATTGAATTGGTACTTGCAGAAGGCTAGTCTGAATGTGGTCCTACAAAATAGATTGTGGGCAGCATGGCAGAGTCAGTGGTGAGGAAAACAGGCCCTGTCCTAGTTCTAGGGGTAATGTGGTAACAGCCTGCATTAGGGTAGTGCAGTGTTGGTTCAGTGGTGGCAGCACAGGAAGCAGGAAGATTTCCCTGTGATTCCTCTAGGATAAGTAGGACAATGCTGGCCACATTTGTTTTTGTTGTTGTTCTTGTTTTTTTTAATCTCTCATTTAATGTATGTTTGTTACTAAGGGTGAGCACTTTCAAATATGAAGAAGACCTTGGAATTTTACTAAAAAAATATTTTTTGATAAAATGACCTTTAAGCTATCATGAAATTTATCTTTGAGTGAACATTATTGCTTTTGTTAAACAATGGAAAATTTAATTTAGGCATATAGTCCTATTGTTTCTTCACATAGAAGAGTCTTCAAGGGACATACATACATAATATTGCATATTTTCATTAAACAATATTCTGAAAATTTTTAATTTCCATAAATATTTCTTAGTCAAATTATAAGGACCTGGTTTTAACTTTGAAATAAAGGAGAGAACTTTTCTTTTGGAAAATTCTTTTTTATGTCATTGGAAATTACTTCCAAAATGCACATCTTTCTAAATTTTAATGTTTAATTTTGTCATCCTTTTTTTAAATGTGACTTGCTAGACTTATAAGGGAAAGAAGATGTATAGTGTTGACAAGAATGCTCTGCTCTCTTTATCTCAAATTATCTTCTAGCCAAAGTCTCCATACTATTGGAGCTACTATTTTGTTCATCCACTGAAAAGTGTCTTAGCCAGTATATAGGCAGTACATTATGTTCCTGCAAGAATACCTAAGGAGGTTCCCAATGAGAAATGGGATTCAAGTAAGGGTGGTATGCAAGTCCACTCCCATACATAAGACCAAGCAGTTCCCTCTTTCTTCCCTAAAGACCTGTAGAGGGCTAATCCCTGCACTGACATGGATAAGGGTCTCCAGTATTCTGTGACATACCATATTCAGTTTTTAAATTAATTTTCTCTTGTTTTTATTAAGTTTTCACTGTAGGATTTTGAAAGACTCTAAATAATATAAAGAATAAAATTTAAATTAGTTGTAACTCTATCACCCAAATATAACCACTAATTTAGGTTTATATATTCCCTTTATATACATATATACATACATGCATACACACACATATGTATGTTTGTATATTTGCATGTAATAAAAATTTTTAATGTGGTTAAAATGTATATGACATACAATTTACTCTTTTAATCACTTGTTAAGGGTATATAGTTCAGTAACATTAAGTACATTCATGTTGTCGAACAACCATCACTACTATCTATTTCTGGAACCTTTTTGTCATCCAGTAGTGGAACTACAACTCCCCTTTCCCCCTCAAGTAACCACTGTTCTACTTCTTATTTCTGAATTTAACTACTCTAGGTACTTCATATAAGTAGAAGCATACAGTATTTGCCCTTTTGAGACTAACCTATTTCACTGTCTTCAAGATTCATCCATGTTGTACTTTGTCAGAATTTCTTTCCTTTTTAATGCTGAATAACATTCCACTGTATGCATATACCACATTTTGTTTATCCATTTACCTGTGCATAGGCATTGTGTCTATTGCAAATAATGCTGGTATAAACATGGGTGTACAAATACCTGTTCAAGTTCCTGCTTTCAGTTGTTTTGGGCATATACCCAGAAGTGGAATTGCTGGATCAAATAGTGATTCAATGTTTAATTTTTTGAGAAACTAGTGTGCTATTTTCAACAGTGGCTGCACTATTTTACATTCCCACCAGTAGTATAGAAGGGTTCCAGTTTCTCCACACTCTCAGCAACACTTGTTTTCTGGTTGGGTTTTTTTTCCCCCTTTAAAGTCATGTCATGTTTTAAAGAGTATGAAAGAGATTTGTCCCCATTCTGTAGTTTTTTTAAAGAGCAAAAGATTATCTTCTTTTTACAGTTTTATAGGAGAATTATGTTCTAGATTAAACAATGCTGTGTTGATTTTTTAAATGTTTACTAAGAGTATCACTGTGCCCATTTGTATTGAACCTCCATAATAGTATCTTCTATAGATATTCATGTTCTTCATGTAGCTTGCTTTACCTGAGTTGATACTAAAATGTTTTTATAAAGGAGAAGCTAATTTCATTGTGTTTTTAAAAGTCATAGTTAAACAATCTGAAGACAAAAGCAAAAAGATTGAGAGGGGTTAAAATTATAGCTGAGACAAAACTGCATTAAATTAGTAAGAAATTTGAACAAGGATCATCTGGGCTGGAATAAAACATGGGTAATATATTTCATGGTTTTAAGTTAGGTATAGTCAGTTAGGCATATATCTGGGGGAGGGGACTTTGGTTATTGTACATCTGTTATGTTCTATTCAGAAGACACCCCCTGCCCCCTGCCCCTTAAGTTACGCAGGCTAGCAAACTGGCTATGACCAAAGGGTCATACGATATTGCTCCATAAGCTTTTTTGTGCTACTCATAGTTTGTAAAATCAGGATACACCCTCAGGCTTTAATAGCCAGGGCTTAAGTCGTTGCTATGAGAGGTTAGAGAAAAAACTGCTTTCATCTTCTGCTCTTGCCTCTCATTGGACAGGGGATAAGGGCTTGTCGTTGGGACCACTTCCTGAAAAAAAAGAGTCAAGGTCAAACTATTTTCAGTACCTTTAGGTTTGTAATATATCTACCCCTTAGCCCAGAAGCTGAAGCCTATTAATAGGAAGTACATTAGTAATTGCAAATCATGTCAGTCCTCTCTCGTGGGGCAGGCATGACTCCCAGCGGTTTATTAACTACTGTGCTATGAGGTCATGTGGGAGTTAGGTTATAAAGTCATTATTTAAGGCAAAAATAGGCACTCACTTATAGTCAGTTATGTTTGATCACTCCTTTCTGCAGTCAAGCCCTTGGTGAAAAAGTTGGTTTGTGTTTAGGAGCCATATTGGGTAGCAGAGCATCTATTCGTAAACTCCACACAGTGTGTGAGGTTTCGACTGTGGGATTACCTCTCCCACCTTACAATTTCTTTGAGGTTTGTGCTTCTTGAGTAGAGCTCGGACTGAATTGAATGAACTCTCTAATAAATTGCTATATTGTCTTAGTTCCTCTCTACCCAAGTAAAGATAGTTGAGTTGAATTCCCCTAAGTTATATGTGCATATGACGTACCTCTACTGCATGCTTTTGATTTGAGGTTGGGCCTGGCCTAACCCTGAATATTTGCCGAATAGTTTTCAGCCTTCTTTCCTCGTGTCTGCTGCCAAAATCCAGTTCCCTTAAAAGAACTAGTGATTTCTGGAAGACTTGTCCTAAACAGTCTGCAAATCCTTATATTTTTATGGAAAAGGCCGTATGAGATGGTAACATATTAACTGAGCCTGTTCTCATGTATACTTATATTCAATGGTGTGACTCCAGAAATTATGGTTTCTCTAAAATACAGACACTTGGGGTCTCCCAAATTCAGCAGTGAAGTGGTACCTTGTTAAGATTGGTTGATATGCGTATCTTTAACAAGAGCAGTGCTGATCTCTACAGGCCAGTGTAGAGATCTCATTTTGACCAGCTGCATCAGCATTACTTGGGAGATGGCTGGAATGATAGAATCTCAGGCCCTGCACTGTGCCGGTGAATTAGGATCTGCATTTTAACAAGATCTTCAGCTGAATTGGAGTCACAGATTTAAAGAACACTAAAATGGACACACTAGTTATAATATGTTAGGCAGAACTTTTTCCCCCAGTAATATTTCTGAACTTCATTGATCAAATGGTAGAAAAACTATTGATTCAAACAATTAGGGAGAAATTATTTTAAGTAAGAAGAAACTGTCTTTTTTCTTAAAAGAGACCGTGGGTATAGTAAGAGAAAAAACATACTGTTTAAGAGTTAATGGGATCTGACACAAGTGATTTTGCTTTACCCCCAAATTGGTTACTTTCTTAATTAGGTAAGAAGTATTTCACATGACTTGATTAAAGTTTTATTCCCTCATATACATTTTCATTTCATTATTTTTTAAAATTTTCAGTTACAGTTGACATACATTATTAGTTTCAGATATACACCCCAGTGAGTAGACATTACATAACTTACTAAATGTTCATCTGGATAATTCTTGCACCCATCTGACACCATACTTAGTTATTAGAGTATTATTGACTATAGTCCCCATGCTGTACTTCACATCCCCTTGACTGTTCTGTAACTACCAATTTGTACTTCTTAACTCCTTCACCTTTTTTATCCATCACCCCTACCCTCATAACCCCTTATAGAATTAGTTTGTTTTTTTCTGGGAGTTGTTGGTGGGAGAAGAAACAATTATAAAATGAAAAGTAGAGTTTAGAATGTTTTTGAATATAATATTGTTTAAGTGACTTTTACATTTTTGTCTACAGAAAATCAGTTTATACAAGACCAGGCACCTTTGTTGGAAGGTGAATTGGTTATAAAATGTACTTTTGGAAATCTCTGAATCAATGAATGCAATAATGATTGGGCATTCACAATAATGCATGTGAACTTCAAAGCTGATGATATCTTAAGTCTGATCCGTGTCATTATTTTAAATTTGGCTTCTTAATGAATCAGATCTCAGAACTGATTGAATTAATGTGGTGATACTAATAGCTCTAAATCATAAAAATCATCTATTTTAGGTAGACATAAAGACAATAACTATATCAAGATTGTCTTAGATATGCATAAAATTATATATAAATGATTAATTTGTATATGATCAAAACTTGGAGAATTTGTTAAACAGATACCAGCATGTAGTTTAATATGTTGTATGTTGTCTTGAGTATTTTGAGGTTCATTTGGCATCCTATCATAGTAAATTTGTAGAAAATTTATTCTGTCTTTACAATCAAGGCAAATGAGTACATGGCTCATTAGGAGATCTTATTTTCAAAAAAGTTTCCGTGACATTGTTATTAATCACAGGTTCTTTAGTTTGCTAAGCAATTTTGTAATTTAACATCAAGGATATCAATAAAACAAAAGGTAAAATACTGAAAATATATAATTTATTGAAAGAAGAGTAATTTCTGTCTTTACATACACACATATATAAAACTCCATGAAATATAACATGATTATACTGTGATTTAGAAATTATCTTATTTCTGGCATGTTTTGTTCCTTTTCCTTTAAAGATACCAGCACTATGGTACTTACTAAGTTCTGCTGAGATTACGGGGTTTTTGTTTTTTTTTAAGAGGACATTTACTAAAGTTGGCAGCAGTTTAATTTTATATTTGCTGCCAGCCTGGAATTTAGTTTTGTGGCATTAAAAAATTATCACAAGTATTTGAATGTCCTTTTCTATTTTGTAAGTAATTCCTAAAGCAAAGATGATAAAAATTTCTAGTGTTGTATAGTTGGGCTCTCTTTTTTTAAACAGTGTTTCTCTACTGTGTGGATGGTTTGCTTATGCAGAATTGCTTATGTTGAATTCATCTTTTGGGAAATAGGAGATTAGTACCTTTACTTTTTTTTGTCTGTTGACTATGAGCTTTTTAAAAGCAATCTCTAGTGACTTATTTTTTCTTTATTAGGAGAGAATTATTAACAGATCTTTGAAAGTTATACGCTAATATAGACATAAAGACTTTACTGTCCTTAAATTTAGCACAGCTCTTTCATTTTAATGGCAAGATGTCTTGCCTACTAAGCTGATGCCTTGTGATTTTTTTAGAGGTAATGAGTTTGAGAATCTAGGGCTACCCAGTGACCTTCATAGCTCAGCTGGTAAAACTTACGACAGTTATCTCAGGGTTAAGGCAGAATTTGAAGGTATTCTATAAAGGATACAATTTAGTTTCTTCTATTTGGAATTCTAAAGGAAAATGCCCTCTATTATCTGTTATAGGTCCTCAGAATGGTTGGAATGATCCTCCAGCTTTGAACAGAGTACCCAAGAAGAAGAAGGTACTAGAAAAAGATGTCTATCCAATTGCCTACAGATGTTTTGTTAATCATGTAGCTACCTAGGGCACATCACACTTTTCTGATCCTTTAAAGGCAAAGCTTACTAGATTGATAAAGTATATTTCAGCTTACATCTTCAAATCCATGAAGGAGAGGAAAGAAAGTAGAAAACAGTATGGTGGTATGGATTGCACTTCTTTGAGAGGCAAAATATAAATTTACAAACAGGTCTCTTTCAAAGAATAAGAAACAAAATTTCAGCCTTCTCAAATGACTTTTTTTTAGGTGTTACTTTGGTTTTTGGGTTCCAGCAGTAATCATGAATTTGGTAATTATATTTTGCTTGTCACATATAATATGAATGAAGAAATATTCTTATAGCTGAGCATTGTTTAGATGCCAATAACTGTTGAGAGCTGTTAGAGGACAAGATAAGATTTTTCTTTCCTTCTCCCCAAGCCATTTTCTACCTTTTTTTACTCGTAGTGCTCTCCTTCCCCCAAATATGGTAATGAGAGGCCGTAACATAAAATTGGGAGACACTAAATGGCTGAGAAAACCCAAAATTTAGGTTAGTAATAATCAGAAACTTAGTCTACTGCTTTTTGTGTGGGTGAATTGACAGGTAATCCACTAGGAAAAGTGTATTACATTGTGATTATATTAAATATACAAACATATTTGGTATATCTGATTTGAGTATTGCCAGATAAAATTTTCCAGACTTTTATATCCTCTTTCAAAAACACCATGGTTTTAGCTCCCCATTTTGGGAATAAGGAGGGAAGGCAAAGAGGAAACTAAAAGGTCTAGGTTTGGACTCTCCACCCCTTTAAGCCAGATTAGCTCTACTTTTATGTTTTTCTCCATAATTTTGCAGAAAATTTCATTTGAAAAGTAGTCTATTAAAAAAAACACAACTTTTTAAACCATGGACTAGTCTAACTCCCTTATTTAAAGCTGAGGAAATGTTGCTACCATTTTTTCTCACTCTTGTTATCTTTTATTACTATCTTTTACAGATGCCTGAAAACTTTATACCTCCTATTCCCATCACAAACCCCTTGGGTGACCCCCAGTCACAGATGCTGCAGCAACAACCTTCAGCTGCAGTACCACTGTCAAGCCAAGCTTCATTCCCACAGCCACATCTTCCAGGTGGCCAGCCCTCCTTCCCTGGCATGCAGCAACCCCTTGGTCAACCAGGCATGCCACCGTCTTTCTCAAAGCCCAATATTGAAGGTGCCCCAGGAGCTCCTATTGGAAATACCATCCAGGTAACAGTAAAATCTGTGAAAATGGAATGGGGAGATGAGTCTATTTCAGCAAACTTTTTTAATGTGTTAACTTTTATGGTTACACCTTTATTAACATTTTTTAAAATTTGGTTTCAACTTAGACACATTGAATAAAAAATAGTATATTATTCTTCAGTTACATGGCCATATACAGACTTCTACAAGAGCCTTGCATATTTGCTAGTGTATGTTTCCAGTAACTTGGTGATTGTGGTATACCTAAGCAGTAGCCACAATTTCAGTTGAATCCTTTATTTGCCTCCAAGGTCCTAAGCAGAAGCTCTTTTCAAAGGTTTTTCCCTTAAAATGTAAAATAAAAATGTAGTGAGTTACATCTTTTCTTATATATGAGCTAATAATATATATATATAGCCTTATCTTCAAATAAAACTATAAATTTGTACTTGCTTTTTACATACAAACTGCTAGTTGGGAGAGTTCCAGATGTGAAAAATCTGTTACATTTACATGTATCTGACTTTGACATATAATGATAAATACTTTGATCTATTAATGAAAAGAAGTGGGAAAATTGAGACAACTGTACTTGAACAACAATTTTAAAAAAGGTTAAAAAAAGAAAAGTAAAGAGCTTGGGCCAAAGTTCAATGTAAGGTGAAACAAATTCCTGTCCAAGTATAAAATTAGTTCTTCTGTTTTTGTCTTTGACTTATCGAATTCAAATTTGTACTGATTGTATTTCTGTCACAAGAGTATGCCTTTTTGTTAAGTAATAGTTCCGCCTAAGGAAATTCTAACTATTAAAAGTTATATTATAAAAACCAGTGTTTTGAGGGAGATAGGGAAACTTGATTCTTTTTTTTTTTAAGATTTTATTTATTATTTATTTTTAGAGAGAGGGGAAGTGAGGGAGAAAGGGAGAAAAACATCAATGTGTAGTTGCCTCTCACGTAGCCCCCACTGGGGACCTGGCCTGCAGCTCAGGCATGTGCCCTGACTGGGAATTGAATGAGCAACCCTTTGGTTCTCAGCCCGTGCTCTATGCAATGAGCTACCCAGCCAGGGCAGAACTTGCTTCTTTTGACAAGAATATAAATTATAAAGATGCGTTGTGAATTTTTTCTTTGATTACAAGTCTCTGTTAGTTTGGGGAACTACCCAGCAATTCACTTTTGTTTAGACCTGGGTGCTCATGTCATACTCGTTTAGACTGGAACTTCAGTTACGATTGAAAGAGAGAGCTGTTTATAATCTTTTTCCTTCAGCTTCTTTTAAAAATTTATCCCCAAATCTTGTTGCTGTTACTTTAAAATCTCCCTCAACTCTCTTAACATTTCCAGCCGGGTCCATGCCACCTTCTTCTGTAGTCTTCAGCAATGCAGGAATCTTTCATTTGTCTGCCAGCATTTACTTCATCCAACTCTTATCTGGCCTTGTCTCCTCTTTGCTTAAAACATTACAACTTTCCATTGTTGTCAAGATAAAACCCAAAATATTTCACATTGTCTGGAAGGTCTCAGCTCATTGACCTCCTGCTCTCTCTGTGCTCTAGCCACACTGGTCTCCTTTTAGTCTTTTTGTATCATGGTCCTTCCTTTGTGCATGATCTTTCTCAGTCTGGAATGCTTTGAAACCCATTTCAGTGGTTAACTTCTACTTATCCTTCCAACCCCTGAAGAGGGCCTTCCCTTCAGTTAAATCTCAGTTGGCTTACCACAGACAATATAACTGAGCTGGTATTTTACAAACATTTATAACATTTTAAAACTTCCTTTCTTTTTCATTAGCCTGTAAATTCCCTGAGGGCTGAGATCATTTCTATATTGGCTCATAACTAGTGCCTGGCCCATAATGGCCTATTTTTTTTCATGAATGAATGAACTAATATATCAAAATTTTAAAAACTTAAACATTCCTTCTTTGTTTTTTCATATTTATATTCTGTAACATCATGGTCTCTTCTATTCTAACCTTTGGCTTAATCTTGCAGTTTGTCAACAGCCCAGTTAACGGATAGAAGAGTGCCAGAATAAACAAAAATGAGCCAACAAACAGAACAAGCAGTTGTTTTAACCAGCCTACTTGATAAATGCCTTGTTGTTTTTATTTCTTACTGGCATAGATCTACTTCCCATCAATTTATATACATTAGTGATCAACATATGTTCCATAATTAGTTAAATACTTTATATCCAGTCCTTTTTGTTGTTGTTTCATTTTTATTTCATAATTATAAACTTAACTCTGCAATCCAGCTTGACTTGGAAGGGTTAAGGGAAATATGGAACCCAAAGAACTGTGGCAAGAACATGAAGATTATAGAACGTTCCAAGCAGATGGGGGTGAAGGGGTGCTCTCCTGAACTACAGAACACAAGTCAAATTTATTAGAGTTCTCCACAATCAGTAATGGTGATCCTCTTGCTGGTCTTGCCATTCCTGGACCCATAGCACTCCATGGATGTCATAACATCCATGTGTCTTTCACCTGGCCGGAGACCACATGCTTACCATCCAGCCGCTGAGTCTTGGCAGTGCAGATGAAAAACTAGGAACCGTTTGTCTTGGGTCCAGCATTTATCATAGACAAGGTGCCAGAACCCATATGTTTCAGGATGACATTCTCGTCATGAAATTTCTCCCTGATGGACTTGCTGCTTGTGCCATTGTGGCATGTGAAGTCACCACCCTGGCACATAAATCCTGAAATAATTCTGTGAAAGCAGGAACCTTTAAAACCAAATCCTTTCTCCCTGTTGCTCAGAGCACACAAGTTTTCTGCTGTTTTTGGGACTTTGTCTGCAAACAGCTTGAAGGAAATGTGGCCCATGGGCTCTCTGTTGGCAGTGATGTGGAAGAACACAGTAGGGTTGACAAGACAGTAGGGTTGACCATGGCTGGGAGAGGGAAGGTCCAGGGGGCAGAGGTGGAGTCTGCAAGGCCTCCACTCCTAGTTTTAAGAATCAGAGCTGTAGGAAGAGTAGTTATACCTTCTACTAGATATCTGGTTTTCATTTTTACTTAACTTAGTGATTTCATGTTAATTTTTCGTCTGGTTTTTGAATAGCCTGTCTAGAAGGCAGTTGGTTTCTCTGTACCACAGGGTTTCAGGGCTTTGTGTATAGGGAGCTTCTGGCCCTTTCTACTGATTTTGTGGTATTATTTCTTCCAGCATGTGCAGTCTTTGCCAACAGAAAAAATTACTAAGAAACCTATTCCAGATGAACACCTCATTCTAAAGACCACATTTGAGGATCTTATTCAGCGTTGTCTTTCTTCAGCCACAGATCCTGTATGTATTTTTTCTTATATTTTGCTTTATTGAAGTATTCCTTTATGAAAGTCTTCTATAATCATTGCTTAAAGTCCTGCAAGATATACTTTAAATGTTTGCACAAAAGTAATTAAGCTAGTAGTACTTACATAGTTTGCTTTAACATATAAAAATATATTTAAGTACATTTTTATATATAAATGTATTTAATCCTCACAGCAACCCCATGGTAGATAGATTATTGTCTTTATTTTACAGATGACGAAATTTAAGCAAAAGGCAGTTAAGTAATACCCAAGGTCAGAGTCAGCATTCAAACCTAGGCTGACTCCAGAGTTTATGCTCTCAGCCACTATGTGTACTGCTTCTCATCAGCAAACCTCATGCTTGGCACTATAATAGAACAGAAGAGTTGTATGCAAGAAAGTCAATCTTCAGGTTTATTTCTGAGCTTACATTGAAGCTTTTAAAAGTAGACAATCTTAAAACTTTACAAAGATCTTAAAAATAGATAAATGTAGATATTGGAGTCATATGCATGATTTTACTTAGTTTACTTAGAGGATGCCTGTGTATTGGCAACAACAGAAACTCTACAAAGCCACTTTTGTTTTCAATGAAATTTTAATTTCTGCCAACAAATGTTGAATAGATTTATTTAGCCACTAGGCACTTGTCTATTTGAAAAACAGCTTCTGGATTTTGTTGTTTCATCAACATTGAGTATTATTAATATGTGCAGCCTTCTGCTGATTTTTGGAAAGCAATTCCCTGAACTGAAGTTTTCAGGAAAGCAGAGGCAGGGAAGGTTTAAGGTAAACCTTAGCGCCTGACGTTCTGAGAATAATGGGAATGTTAAACTAGTATGGAGAGGCAGATGAAGCTCATAGCCAGGTAAATACTATCCCCTGTGCATACCTCTAAATAGGCCACAGTCATTCAAAAATAGAGGTGTTTCCATAAAAATGTGGGGGAACTTCATTCCTCCTTCAGGGATGAGTTGGTATAGAGAGGGTGAGAGGACACTTAGTTCATGGCCCAGCTCAGTAAATTCTTAACTGAATTTAACCTCCTCTAGGTCTCCGTGCCGTCTTCCTTCTGGGTCCACAGGAGCACTAGGCAGAAGAGATCCACAAAAGACAAACTGTTCCTGTAATTTCTGTGACTAGTTGGAGGAGAACTTCTAATATCCTCTCCTGCCCAACTACCACCACCCTCACCCCCTTGGGTTATGTGGGATTAACTTTGAACAGGAACTGCAATAGTTCCCCTCCACATAAATCCATTTTAATCAATAATTGGAACCATTTTTATAGTATGGCTTTACTACTGTTTTTACTTTAATTATGTCCAAACAACACAAAGTAATTTTGCAGCACAGCTTAGTTTATAATATTATTCTTGGCTTCATCTCTTCTGCTTTCCTCTTCTGACATGCTGACATTCCTTCCTCAAGTATACCAAGACACTTCCACATCAAGGACTTGTGTTTGCTGCTCCTTCTGTCTAGAACTCTTCCCCCACATAACTGCTCTGCTCACTCCTCACTTGTTCCAGACTTCTGCTCCAATATCCTATTAGTCATTAGGCCTTTCTTTACCACCCCCTCAATTCCCAACACCTCCAGTCCTTCTTACTCTATTAACTTTCCTTCATGGTACTCATCACCATCTGGCATAGAACATATCGTTTATTTAGTATCTTTTCCTACTCAGTAGAGTATGAGCTCCATGAGACATACTACTGTGTCCCCAGCATAGCACATAGTATAGACACTCAATAAATATTGAAGAACAGTGTCAGTTCTATAGCTGTTGCATAATGTAGATCATTGTTAGTTTTAAACTTTTCACTTTGGTTTCAGATTAGTTTTCTCTCACTGTACTTATAATATTAGGATGGGGTGGGTGGATCTTCTTAATTTAAGAACTTATTTTACTGCTTCCTTCTTAGTAGTCTTAAGTTACCAGATGACAATTTTTTTTTCTTGATGTTTTTTAAATGCTCAGAAAGAGTCAGGATTAAACATACCAAATGACTAAGTATGTAAGTAATATTTTTGAAAGATTCTAGTTTACCTATATGTTTGCCTTCTAACACCCACAATTTATAATGAGTGTACTTAGACATTTTCATCTGTAGTATACTGACCCATTGCCGCCTCCAGATGGCCCTGCTGTTGTTTTTGGATATAGTGCACCTGTACATTCATACACCTTGTCAAGTGAGTTTGCAGTTCACATGAAATCCACCCAGTCCTCTAATTTTGCACACCAGAAGAAAGAGGCCCATCCTCTTGTCTTCCTCCCATTAGATTACTGACCTTTGCTTCATAATCTGTTCAAGTTTCTTGGTTATAGTTGCCTCCCTTTCTTTATAAAATGAAGCTGTTCACCATCATGAGTATAAGGTTTAGTGAAATGAGATAGGGCAAAATTTTTGGATAAAAGTTAATGTTCAAATATAACATACCTGTTTTTCTTCTCCTGCAGCAAACCAAGAGGAAGCTAGATGATGCCAGCAAACGCTTGGAGTTTCTATATGATAAACTTAGGGAACAGACAGTAAGTTTGTGGGGAAAAGGATTCATTTATTCCTAGTTGCTAAAATAAGCATCTTATCAGCACTTGCCTGTAGTGTGCTTGGGGACAAACTGGCATGTTAAGATAAATGGCCTTCTGTTTGTTTTTTCTGTCCCATGAATCAAGAAATCAGAGTGGGAAGATACTCTGTTTTTCAGAGACCAAAACTGTAGTCTTTCTCACAGTCAAGACTCCTGATCCCTTTTCCTCTAGCATGCCTATTACACAAAGGCAAAGCGAAATGTGGCCAAAAGATGAGCAACTTAATGTGCTGTAACTGTGAAGAGAGCCAGCAGTAGGAGAAAGTGTACTGTCTTCTGTTCCTTTGTTCCCACCTCTCCATTCTTTCCAGAATAGTTTTGCTTTATTAATAGAAGCACTAGGATAGGAAAAAAGAACTGGGACTTTTTATATTATTGCATTTCAGCATTTCTCTTTCCCATTCCCTACACCAATTCCGTCAGATAAAAATAAGCATTTATTTCATGAGAACCAAACCAAAAAAAGCTAGTTGATGTAGCTGTGGAAGTGGTGTGGTCCATGGGCTGATCCAAATAAAGTCTTCCCTCAAAAGTGTGAACATTTAAACCAAGTAATGGAAAAAACAGACTATCGGTTTTATGGTTTTAAGTGATGACAGAATTATTAAAAGCAGTTAAGAATAGATCAGTTGAGCACGTAATTAGGGCTGTTGCCCTACTAAGGGAAATAGATCAAAAGTTCAGGATATCTATTATAGACAGGATTTAAGATTAAAATGGGTCCTTACTTTGAGATATCATGATTAAGAATCATTTTTAAAGGTGTGAAGCTATATCTAAAATAATTAAAGAATTAAAGCTCTTTTTAAAAAAAATTTATTTATTGATTTTAGAGAGAGGACAAAACATCAATCTTGTTCCACTTATTTATTCATTCACTATTGCTTCTTGTATGCCCTAACCAGAGATTGAACATGTAGCTGTGGCATTTTGGGATGATGCTCTAACCAGCTGAGCTATCCGGCCAAGGCAAGATTAAAGCTTTTAAGTGGAGAGACTCATTAGTGGTTCAGCTTAGGGGAGGAAATCTGGCTTTTCTGTAAGAAAGTCCTGGCTTATCATACATATTTAATTTATAAATAATTTCCTTACATGTCAGTTTGTCATGGTTCTGTTTTATAACTTAAATATTGCTTGGTCTAAAAAAACTGCATCTAGATATGCTAAATGGTTTATATATTTTGTTTTATAATGTTTATATCAAACTCCTTTTAAATATTGTTGTTTAATGTCTCTTGAGGGTCTTAAGGGAAATTCTCCTTTAATTCTTTCTCTTGGTTCCACCTTTTTTCAGCTTTCACCCACAATCATCAATGGTTTACACAACATTGCAAGGAGCATTGAAATGCGAAACTACTCTGAAGGCTTGACCATCCATACCCACATAGTCAGCACCAGCAACTTCAGCGAGACTTCTGCTTTCATGCCAGTTCTTAAAGTTGTTCTCACCCAGGCCAATAAGCTGGGTGTCTAACAGGACAGCTTCACTTCCCGCCAACATTGCCATTTTTCCAAAGAAACATGTTTTTAAAAATGATAAGATGTGGACCAATCTTCATTAGCATGTTTTCATAGCATTTACACTATTTCTGCAAAGATACTCACCTTAGAACCGCTCCAAACCTTGGTGCTTTCTTTTATTTTAATCTTTTATTGCCTGTAATGATTTTCTTATTATGCAAATAGTGTATTTCCTGGATTACACATAGTTTTCCTGAAGTATTCTGATAAATTGTGGTTTTTTAAAACCTTAGTGTACTTTTGCAATAGAGCATCTGGTTATGCATAAAGCAGAGCTAAAACTGAGTTTCTTTTGTGTCCTCCATACTCCCTCTATGTCAATCAGATTAAAGTGTGCGATCTTATTTTAAGTGTATGCGGTATTTTTTTAAACAGCTGCCCAGTTTACTTTAATCTTTATTTCTTTATGTCTCTGGCTTTACTTTGGTTCTGAATAAATAATTAAATCTAGAGCCTATTACATAGATTTTAGCAAATATTAATGAAAAGGGGGATCACTGGCCTTAAGTGAAAAGACTGAGCATTTGCATTCTGTAGGATGAATTTTATTAATAAATGTTTTCAATATTGTTTGAATTTTAAGATTGAATTCTTTTATATATAGATAATTGTTCATCTGATTTTTAAGAAGCACCTATAAATCTGAAATTTAAGTGCAGAAAGAAAACTTCAATTTCTGTTAGCCTCCTGAATCAGAGATAGATATTTTCCAGCCAGTTATCTGTCAAATGATTTTAATATAATCTGTTTTAAGCTTATAACAAAAGATAATGTTCCCCTAGAATCTTGGAGAATCAGATACTAGTAATTTTTTTTTAATTTTGTTGATTTTTTAAAAGATTATGTTTATTTTGTAGAGAAGGGAAGGGAGTGGGAAAGAGGGAGAGAAACATCAATGTGTGGTTGTCTCTTGAGTGCCCCCTACTGGGGACCTGGCCCGCAACCCAGGCATGTGCCCTGACTGGGAATCGAACCAGCGACCCTTTGGTTTGCAGGCCCTACTCAATCCACTGAGCTACACCAGCCAGGGCTAATTTGTTTTTTAGATTCATTTGTTGATAGTTGTGAATTTATTGCCATTTTAATGTTCATAGTTTTGAACATATTTTTCTTAGATAAGTCCCTTTAACATTTCATATAATAAGGACTGGGTGATGATGAACTCCTTTAACTTGACCTTATCTGAGAAGCACTTTATCTGCCCTTCCATTCTAAATGAAAGCTTTGCTGGATAGAGCAATCTTGGATGTAGGTCCTTGCCTTTCATGACTTGGAATACCTCTTTCCAGCCCCTTCTTGCCTGCAAGGTCTCTTTTGAGAAATTAGCTGACCATGTTATGGGAACTCCTTTGTAGGTAACTATCCACTTTTCTCTTGCTGCTTTTAGGAGTCTTTTGTCTTTAATCTTTGGCATTTTAATTATGATGTGTCTTGGTGTGGTTTTCTTTGTGTCCACCTTATTTGGGACTCTGTTTCTTGGACTTGTATGTCTGTCTCCTTCACCAAATTAGGGAAGCTTTCTTTCATTTTTTCAAGTAAGTTTCAATTCTTGCTTTTTCTCTTCTCCTTCTGGTCCCCCTATGATTCAGATGCTGGTATGTTTCATATTGTCTCAGAGTCTCCTTAGCCTATCCTTGTTTTTTAGGATTCTTTTTTCTTCTTGCTGTTTAGGTTGAACACTTATTTCTTCCTTATGTTCCAAATCATTGACTTGATTCTCGACTTCATCCAGTCTACTGTTGGTTCCCTGTAAATTTTTTTTTAAGTTCACTTAGTGTAATCTTCATTTCAACCTGAGCCTTTTTTACGCAGTTGAAGTACCTAGTGAGTTCCTTGAGCATCCTAATAACCACTGTTTTGAACTCTGCATCTGATAGATTGCTTATCTCCATTGTTTAGTTCTTTTTCTGGAGCTTTGTTCAGTTCTTTCATTGGACCATGTTTCTTTGTCTCCTCATTTTAGGCAACCTCCTAAAATGTTTGTTTCTATGTATTAGGTAGAGCTGCTTTGACTCTCTGTCTTGGTAGTGTGGCCTATTATAGAAAAGTGCACTGGTTAAGCTGGGTGGGGCAGAGCCTTAAGTAATCTTCAGAGCAGGGTAACCCATTTGAACCAGGTTAATGGAGTCTCAGATACAGTGTTGCTGCTCTGTGCCTCTGTGTGGGGGAGGGCTCAGGAAAGGAACAGTGGTGCTGTCTGGCCTCTGGAGTTTTGTCCTGAAGGAAGCTGTACCCCAGCTCTCCCTGATGCCAGACACTTCAGTTTCTCCCCATATGCCACTAGTGCCCTCCTAGCTGCTGCCCTGGTGTTGTAGCCCAGCAGGAGTGAGTCTATGTAAGTCCTAAATTCGTTGGGTGCCCTTTAACAGGAGATTCTTGAGAATCCTGCAGTTACTTCCACCACTCTAACCTCCACTGGTTTTTACAGCCAGAAATTATGGGGACTTATCTTCCTGGCACTGGAACCCTGGGCTGGGTGGTCTGGGTTGGGGCTGAGATCCCTCATTTCCAAGGTATCCCTCCTTATTTTTATCCACCACATGTAGATGTGGAATCGCCTCTTACACATCTCTGCTGCTCCTACCTGTCTGGATGAAAGTGACTTCTTTAATTCCTTGGTGGTCGGACTTCCATACAGGTTGATTTTCTGATGATTCTGGGTGCTAGTTGTAGTTTAGTTGTAATTTTTTCTGTGGTTGTGCAAGGGCATGAGCTGTGTTTACCTATGCCTCCATCTTGACCGGAAGTCTGATTGATTTTGTATGTGTCCTGACTAGGGATCAAACCACAGCCCTGGTGTATTAGAACTGAGTACCCCACCAGGGTCTAATAATTTTTTAATGCCTATGCAATTTTACCTGAGTGGGTTGGAAAACTAAAAAATAATAACTGTGACTCTTGTGGAGGTAGAGGTGCTATTTCAAGGAGTAAGAGTACTTTGTCAGGTTTTTTGTAGCCTAAAGGGAAAAGTTTGCAAGAATCTTTCAATTTTCTTTGCTGAGATTCCCTACTCTCCAAAAAAAACTCCTCTTTATGAAAATAAATAATAATAACCAACTCACTTTTTAGCTCAGAATAGTTTTATAACTAAGAAAAGGAGGAACTTGTTAGCATATATGAGCATTGGAGTCTTAGGAATGTGTAATAAATCAACACCCTGCCCTGCAGTCTCCTGGGAGTTTGGTAGTTTGTATAGTTCTCTGACTAATCAAGTGGCAACTTGATCTTTGTACCTGACCCTCTAATGTAATGTCAGCCCAAGACCCATCAAAACAGCAGGCTGCCCTCTTGTAATTTCTTATTTACTGTGGTACCTCAGTATGGTACTCGTTAATTTGTTCTGGAATTCGTGACTGGTGCCAAAACCAATGAGTACTCAGCAAGCAGCAAGTGATGAAGCATATTCTCTTAAAGGGTGGCACTCTTGCTAGAACTTGCTAGAACACAAGTTCTAGCAAGTGCAATAAGTCCAAGCAAGCGCCAAGTGCCAAAACATTTTTTTCTTGTCAAAATGCAATGAGTACAGGGTTTGATGAGTTTTGAAGCTGATGAGCACTGGGATATAACTGTATTTCCTATATAGTTAGGATTTATGTTATGTCTGCTAGTTTACCCTGACATGACAGTGGCATAATTGGCAGCATTTTACAAAAAACAAAAAACAAAAAAACACAAATTCCCAGAAGATGAAAAATGAGAAGGGGGCAGTGGACCCTGGCTAGCCCCAAGGATTTTACAAGTGTGAGTGTGAAAAACATTACTACTGGCATCTGAGCAACTATCTCTCCTTTTTCAGTACAGTAGTGTGATTTTTTTCCACTGTGGAGATATTTCTCCACATGGCTTATGACTTTGGAGAAGTTTCATGTAAACGGATGGAGGTAAGAAAAGCTAAAACCCAAATATTGTTTTATTTCTGAAGGATGACAGTAATAAGAGATTATGGAAAGAGGTGCTTCTTATCCTGAAGAGAAGTAAAACAACTTTCCAAAAGTTTTTTAAATAGAGAAAAAAATTTCAATTTAATTGTCAATGAGTGTGTTTTCAACTCTTGCCATTACTTCATGTAGTCATTATTCCTGAATCCCAAGTCTGTTCAGTTGTGCTTAGGTTTTGTGCTTTTTATTGTCTTAACCTAAATTTTAAAACAAGGAAAGGGGTGTGAGGGGAACTGGTAGGTGGGGCTGTGTATTAGCCAGGAGCTTTGTTCCACCAGTAGGGGTGGTGCTGTTTTTATTTTGTACCTCTCCTCTGTTCTTCAGCCCTTTGGGCTGGGTAGAATGGATGCACCCATAGTCCCCACTTCAGAATCTTTATGTGTAATGGGATACATAGCTGATAGAAGTTCGTTTGACTAGTGTGGCATCAGAAGGATTGAAAAGAACTGCTCTGCACCTGTTAAGAGTCCATTGAGCCTATATATTCCCTTGAAGTCAGAAAATTCCCTTGTTTTATCCTAGGGAACAAGAAAGACGCAGTAGGATTCCTGGCAACCACATATACCCTGATTAGCACCTGCCTGAGAGATAAAGAGAGAGATGGTGACTGAGTTACACGTTTCTGATAACCACTTGTCCCCTAAACCAGATTTGGGTTTGCCTAAGAATGACTACAAAGCCATCTGTTGACTCCTCTGCCCTAGTGGAGACTTCATTTGGAACTATCATGAAGATTCAGCAAATATGTACCCACATCTGTGCATGTGTGCATACATATGTACACATGCTCCCCTCTTCCATATTCTATTCCACTGCTGTGGTGGCAGCATTCCCAAATTGAAACCCTGCCCTAACTAGTGTGGCTCAGTGGCTGGGTGTCACCTGCAGACCGAAAGGTTGCTGGTTTGATTCCCAGTCAGGACACATGCCTGGGTTGCAAGCCAGGTCCCTGGTTGGGGGCATGCTAAAAGCAACTGATAGATGTTTCTTTCTCCCTCCCTTGCTCTCTCTCTCTCGAAAAAAAATTAAGTAAATAAAGTAAAAAAAAAAAAAAAAGAACCCCTGACGGGTGCTTATGAAATGCTGAGGGTATCACAGGTAGAATCTCAAATTTATCAGTGAATAATAGGGACTGTTTGTGCACAGAAAATCTTAACTATTTGATCTTAGGAATAAATGCCCTGAATCTTTCAACCAAACTAGATTACAAAGAAAAGCAATCAAATCAGCTTTCTATTTCCACTTTTTCTGCTATACTGTTTTATCTACATTTCTGTAGCTGTTGGGTTCAGTGCTTTGGTAACCATACCAATCTCGTGGGCTCAGGTTGCATAGTGTGCTTAGAAGCCTGATTGGGGTCGAACTGTACTGTTCTCTAATATCTAGCTGTTTACTTTTTTTTCCCC